ATACTGTGAAATGTGCCGGAGCTCATAAGCCTACTGGCGAACAGCATCATATCTTGAGCTTGCTGCACCCACAGAGTCTGACGTTCTATTCCATGCATTCAGTTCATAAAAGTTCATAGAAGTGCTCCCAACAGTGCTTAAAATGTGCAGAACATTTCAAAGAATTTATTTTCAATTCAATCTTTTTACTTTTAACAGTCATGACGCAGCAATCGTGTGAGAAATTCACACGCTTGCAGCAGCTGTTTGAATATATATATATATATATATATATATATATATATATATATATATATATATATATATATATATATATATATATATATATATATATATTATATATATATATATATATATATATATATATATATATATATATATATATATATATATATATATGTATATATATATTCAAACAGCTGCTGCAAGCGTGTGAATTTCTCACACGATTGCTGCGTCATGACTGTTAAAAGTAAAAAGATTGAATTGAAAATAAATTCTTTGAAATATATATATATATATATATATATATATATATATATATATATATATATATATATATATATACCTCTCTCCCTCTATCTCTCTCCCTCCCTCTCTCTCTCTCTCTCTCTATCTCTCTCTCTCCCTCTCCCTCTCCCTCTCCTCTCCCTCTCCCTCTCCCTCTCCTCTCTCCCTCTCCCTCTTCCCTCTCCTCTCCCTCTCCTCTCCCTCCCTCTCCCTCTCCTCTCCCTCTCCCTCTCCCTCTCCCTCTCCCTCTCCCTCTCCTCTCCCTCTCCCTCTCCCTCTCCCCTCCTCTCCCTCTCCCTCTCCCTCTCCCTCTCCTCTCCTCTCCCTCTCCCTCTCCTCTCCCTCTCCCTCTCACCTCCTCTCCCCTCTCACCCTCTCCCTCTCCCTCTCCCTCTCCCTTCTCCCTCTCCCCTCTCCCTCTCCCTCTCCCTCTCCCTCTCCCTCTCTCTCTCTCTCTCTCTCTCTCTCTCTCTCTCTCTCTCTCTCTCTCTCTCTCTCTCTCTCTCTCTCTCTCTCTCTCTCTCTCTCTCTTCGTTCCTTAACTAAGGTGAAAAGTTTCAAAAATGTTGGGCAGCATTCAATATTCAATGCTCGAGGCTGAAGGTGAGGTTAAATTCACGCATAACATATGGTCAATGCGAAATGTTTCTTGTAAGAACACATGTGGAAACGACGAAAAACTACCTGCAAATTTCGTGTTGATATCATCATCCACTTTTTTAATCCCAAAAAAACTTCCCAGAGGGCGGTATTCTCAAATGGGACCCACATGGGCCAAACGTGGTGGGGCAGCTGGGTTAATGTGGGCATGGGCTACTGATGAGCTATTATCTGGGCTCCAGCTGAGCACGAAAAGGTGCGCCCACATCATGTCACTTTTTAATGCGCCAGAAATGTTTGTTCCCTATACTGTCCCATCATGTTCCCTATACTGTCCCATCGGAATTTATCACGTGAAGAACAAAATCGTTAAAAACGAGGAAATGGTTGCTTTCATGGGCTTCATAGGGGTCATATGTGGGCAAGCTGGGCTCATGTCAACATGAACTGCGGGTAGGCTGGTACCTGGGCTTAAATCGAGCTGGCCCATGGAAGCGTTCTAAGTGGGGGAAATGAGTATGTCCCAGCCCCGTTATTAAATTGTAATGTGCATTAATATGGATCACCGCCAACATACAAAAATGGGTGGCACAGGGGCATCTTGGGCATGGGCTTCAAGTGGGCCATGATCAGGGCTTCAGCTTGATGCTTTATGGTCCTCCCATATCCTCGCATTTATTTTGTATTTGGACGTCCCAGACGCACGTTGGCCTGACTTGGGGGGAGAGCTACTGAAGCCAAATATTTTACAAAATGCTTTTTTGAATGAGTCTTCTTCCAAAAGTTGTTTCCGGACAGAAAACAACAGCTTTATCGTTCAGAGTTCGTGTTCGTGCTCAGAATGCGTCTCAGCCTACATACCCAACTGGGCTCCATGTGGATCCGAGATGGGCAGTCATATGGGACCTGTCAGGGCTGCCCACTTCGGCCGATGTTGGCATGCCATGTGCAACTACTTGGATCCCACATGGGAAACCCACCCGTGGCTCATACAAGGCCAAACTGGAGCCGACATGGGGCCCACCTGGACTGCCCAGTTAAGACCCATTTCGGTCCCATGTGGGCATGTCATGGGAAACCAGGTGGATCTCACATGGGCAACCCACCTGGGGTCCACATGGATCCTAGCTGTATACAACATCGGGCCCACTTGGGCTACACAGTTGAGACCACGGGGACATGTTCAGCTGGGGCCCACATGGGTATGTCCAACTGGGACACATACAACAGCTCAGATGGGACCTATATACCTAGGCCAGATGGGACCTCTTTAACCATCCTAGTTGGGCCTCAGTTAAGCTTCACAAATCTGCCCTTTCAAAATCCATCTCATTGGTGGGCCGTCGTAGTTCCAGGAAAACCGCTCTACACCATCAATCAAAAGCCCGGTCAGAGACCATTCAGCAGTATTTGTCCGAAGTTGCCCTGAAAACAGAGCCGTTGCACAGCACATACACTTTTGCGTTATTAGGCCCGATACAATCACTAAGAAATTCAACGGATGCTTCGCGTTGCCGTTGCCGCCGTTACTAGCGCGGCGTTTCCCACCGTCGTCACAGTCTCTCCCGCTGGAACCATTTTTGTGTTATATATTCCGCTTCGTTTCGTTTCGTGCGTGGTGTGTTATGCAGGATGCCACCTGAAAATGGCGATATTCAGTACCTCCGATCGCTGCCCCATGGCCTGAGTGTCGATGATTGATGATGACACAGATTGTAGTACTGAAAGACCTGGTTTTGCGTTAAAAGGAATGTTCCACATTTGAGAATATTAAGATAAGCATCAAATATGTTGGAAAAGCTTACTTGTAACTATTGACAAGATTTCAAGGTTTAAAAACGACCATAAGTAGCAAAATTTCGAAGTTTGAAAAATTGCGCCCCATTACGTCATTGTTTGATGGCGTCACGGAATGGTTTAGTGACGACAGCAATACCTGACAGCATCCGGGAGCCAGACTCAAAGAATACCTCGGAACGCACAAAACCTGACGCCAACCGCCCATTTTCGTCGCGGTCACTGTGTTGGGTGGCGGATTGGTGACTGACTTGTTTGTGGAAGCAGCTCGCAATCAAATGAGAATTGGTAGGGCCAAATGGTGAAGGTTTTCCACTCCCATAGAGCGAAAAGAAATTCACGACGTCTACCTCTAAATAGCCTATTTCCTCTGTTGAGCCTCGGGTTACCGGACTGCGTTGTTTAGTATCTATGCGTGCTAAACTCTGCCCGTTTTAGCACAAATCGGTACTAAACACGGTTCCCCTGTAAGCAGGAATCTGTGCTAATTAGGCTCGAGAACGTGTTGCGCGTCCAACCCAAGTCTGATGCTGACCACATCTCGAGACCAGTATCCCATTCTTCGCACTACCCATATGACAATATCTTTCCCAAGGTACTGTAGTCGAGGATATATCAATATCACACTCAGCCGCTAGATAACACTCTTCTGTAAATTGCGCCCAAGAGTTTCTCCAGACACGTTTCCTAACCACCTCCACGATGCTCCTCACTGAACACCAAGTGACCGATCTTGCCGCGTCCCAGGAACACCTCGCATTCGAATGGGAATTGGGGTCCCAAAGTGGTGGATGCCTTCTACCTGCATCGAACGAAAAGAAATTCACGAGGGTCACCTCTAAATAGCCTCATTTCCTTTGTTGGGCGCCGAGTTACCGGACTGCGTTATTTAGTATCTATGCTTATCAAACTGCGACTTTTAGCACGAATCGGTACTAAACGCGGTTCTCTTAGCAAGGATCAATACTAAGTTTGCTCGAGGACGTGTTGCCTGCTCATACAACCAAACGTCAACGTTTCCACATTTGCTCACGCCGCAAGCGCTAGCGAGTACAGACTGATACTTAGCTTTGAGTTTCGTCGAGCTGGGGTAATCCGTTGCAATGCGGTCTTGTCTGTTGAAATTTGTATCCATTTTCACAATTTGGTCACCAATTGGTTTGCAAACGTTTTTGTCACCGATCATATCCGGTAAATCAGAAGTTTTTTCACCCCTGGACATGGCGATCTTGTCAAGCTGCAGGTTGCGTGGGTTGCGTGGCATCGACTGCCATCCCCTCCTCCGGGCAGGCTCCCGCCCTTTGGGTGGGCAGTCGTATGCCTTGAGCGCCAGCCCCCGGGACGGGCCGGTCCGGCGGCACTTCCGATGACGACCGGGTGTGGACCTTGAGCGCCAGCCCCCGGGACGGGCCGGTCCGGCGGCACTTCCGATGACGACCGGGTGTGGACCTTGAGCGCCAGCCCCCGGGACGGGCCGGTCCGGCGGCACTTCCGATGACGGCCGGGTGTGGACCTTGAGCGCCAGCCCCCGGGACGGGCCGGTCCGGCGGCACTTCCGATGACGGCCGGGTGTGGACCTTGAGGGCCAGCCCCCGGGACGGGCCGGTCCGGCGGCACTTCCGATGACGGCCGGGTGTGGACCTTGAGCGCCAGCCCCCGGGACAGGCTGGTCCGGCGGCACTTCCGATGACGGCCGGGTGTGGACCTTGAGCGCTAGGTTTCGGGACGGCCGGTCTGGCGGCCTGCCTGGTCTGGCGGCTCGGAGAAGGTGTGTCGGTCGCTGAGCTGGGCTGTGGCACAGCCCTTTCTCACAACGGATACGGCCTTTTTTAGTCTGACCCGGGAAAGGCCATAGTACCTAGTGCCCCGAGCGATTGCCTTCCGGTACATCACTTGCTCCGTATTCACTTGCAGGCTTGCATCTTTCAGTACATCACTGCTCACGCATGCACAGGACCACCAGCCTTAAGTGCCTGTTGCTGCTGATCCGGACCGGCTGCACGTCACAGGAGCCTTTGACGTTTTTTGGCATGCGACAGATTTCCACTTTGGCCAGTTGGAATTTACAGCCCACCGTGGGAACGTTTGCTTTGAAGGGGCGAAACTACATTTTACACGGATGTTTATTCAGCAAATATTCATCAAGATATAGGCCATACTAAAACTACGCTGCGTCTAGACTCGTGTGGGTCACAGAAAGCCAAAAGATTTAAACGACTGCTGCAAAACTTACATTGGCGACGTACACGGAGCGACAGAACTGTAAACACGTCCGTCGTCTTTCCACTGCCGCCGAATAAAAGACTTCAGACCCATGTCTCACTCCAAAACATACGCGTGAGTGTATAAATAAACGGATTTAAGAGCATTCTTTCATTAATACCGCCGCTTTCGTAATGACAAGCACGTACGCTGTGGGGACGATGCCATCAGCCAGCGTGTTGGAGCCAGAACCCCACACCGGTGCCACACGGTCGGCTGTTAATATTACGAAAGACTTCTATCCCGTATAGACCAGCCACGACAAGGCCGGTCTGCTGTGTCTTACTTCCATTCTGGATGCGCGCGCGGCCGTGGGCTGTCCGCTCCGTTGGACCTAGCTAACATGACGGCACACGCACTGTCCAATGATGCGGGCGCTGACGCCCTCAGAGCTCTCTCACACGCCGTGCAATCCGCACACCTGTCCCCAAGTAGGAACACAGTTCGCGCGACGAGCCACCGAACGGCCGGCTCTCGGTCGCCGGACCGCACAACGCCGTCGGAGCGCACGCTCGCCGCACTTCGGCGACATAACCGCCGCGTCCGAGCGCACGCGCGCCACCCGCGGTGCGCGTGCGGTGCCGGCAGCGCGCAGCACGCCCCGGCAAGGCAGCCCGTGCCACGACCGTAGCGCCCCATCGCGCCACCACAGATGCGCCGTCGCGTGCCGCACAGTACGTGAGCGCCCGCTGTAGGGCCGCCAGCCTCATCAGAGCCAACACGGAGGGAGGCGCGGCCGGCCCGTGGCCACCGGGTCGGGCGGGCGGTCCGGCCGGCCGCGCTGCCGCTCGACCGCGCCTAGCCGAAGTTCTCGAAGTGGTGGATGAAGTAGGGTAACTTGCGGCCCTTGTTGACGTCGTCGCACGCCGTGCTGACTGACTTGGTGAGCGGCCGCGGCCCGCAGCTGAACACGCCGATCTTGGACACCTGTCGGAAAGCACGTTAGCAATTGTGACCAGGACAGCACGAGGCAGCAGGGTCCGCCACCGATGCTGCCAAACGCGAGTATAGCTAGCCGGTCCACAGATGATGTATTTTCACTTATCCTTATTATGACCAGGTGACAGAATCCGCGATGCCCAAGATCCTTATGCAAAACAACGCATGCACTATCAGGTGAATATGTTTAGCGCTTGTGACGTTTCTCATGCAAACCGCACATTTCAGCCAAATGCCAGCCCTGCTTTAAGGCCAAGCGATAGCAAATGAAGAGAAAAAACAACGAAAAGGTACATAGAAAACCAAGTTAAAAAGTGGTGCCCTTGATTATAGCACGACGGTCGCCATTGCAGCGTTACGTACGTAGTTGTGTTTCTTCTGGATGAACTTGAAGAAGGACGCCATGTCCGGTCTTCCAAAGTGGTTCACGGCCTTTAGGCCCGTGAACATCGAGCGATTCGACAGCCTTTGGAAGTGGTTTTCACAGATGTACTGGAAATGCGCAAATTGAGGTCACTTTTTACGGCACACATCGCATTGCGTTGCGCTCGTGCTATTACTCTATGCTTACGTCGCGCTCGCATTATTTTGTGGCATGTCGTAAAAGATAGCATAACTAAGCATTTTTACTAGACTAGTGATAGCCTTGCAAAAGAACAACGGTCGGGATTGCCTTGTTGATGACAGCAGCAGAGTGCTGTATTATCTCTACAAGGTCGCTTGGCGCATGGTAGTGAACACAAATGCTAGGAACGTTTCAAGGTGCTCCCGCCGTCTTACCAGCATAGTTGTCCTCAAGTCGAATTTGTGAAAGAACTGCGTGATGAAGATATGCATCTCCAGGACTTGAGTGACATCTTTTCTCTCCACATCACGGAGAACATCAATGAACCACTCGAAGCTCTTGTGTGATGGGCAAATCCACAGGAAATAGACCTGTCGGAAAAAAACAAGATGCATCTCATTGTGAAGTGTTATACAGAGAACAGAATCTCGCTCATGTAGGCGTACATGTTCATGCTTTTTCATTTTTTGCTGCGCCCGTCTGGTCCGGCGAGGCTTCCCGCGCGGAGCATGGGACAGCAAGCGAGCCGGCCTGGTCTGGAGCAACCGCATGCCGTACAAAACACGACCACCAGGCCGAGAGAAGAATGCGCATCGGCCCGACGCTCCAGCCGATCGGCCCGCATCGACGAAGCGACGTCAGATGTGCCCCCCGGAACGGCTATGACCCATCTGTCGAAATGGTCGATGGCGTCAAGATTAATGGATGCGAGAGGCAGATCACCGGCGACAACGTGCACGCAGGAATGTTTAAGTGACGTGTTGTTCTGGATGTTTGCCGCTCCGCCCCAGGAGCCCCGCCGCGCCGGCGCTGCCGTCGCCAAAGCTGGCATCGGAAGCATCACGTCACGTGAGAACTGGGCCACAGGGGACGTGCAGGGCCCGCCCGAGGCGAGAGCGTGAGGACATTGCACCGTCGCCGGCGACACCGCGCTCGAGATCTGGCCCAGGGGCACGCTGGAGGCGGGGCTCTGGAAGCCGGTCGGGCCGGCCCGGCGATATATTGGGCGGAGGAGGCGAGGCGGCAAAACTATTGAGTCACCCAAAAGGCAGGGGCGGGCCGACCCAGTTAGAGGACGTCGAGAATTGATAAAACATCATGCAAATGGCTCCGCAGGGCGGTTAGTGCAAGGGAGTGCACCAGGCACCTGCAGCCGCGCCTCGAGGTAGACACTCCGAGGCCCCAGCTCACGTCACCTGGTGGCGCGACATCCCACTCAGCGGACGACCGCACTCCGGCGAAAACACGCAGGATGTGAGTGCCCGGGCTGCTGTCCCCATCCCGCCAGGCCGTGGACGGCTGGCGCTTCGAGCGTGCCTTTTTGTCCCTCCCCACCGGACGGGCGCAGGCGCAGGTGTGGTGTAGTGCGGTGTGGTGTGTGTGTGGTGTATGTGGTGTATGTGGTGTGATGTGGTGTATGTGGTGTATGTGGTGTGATGTGGTGTGCTGGTATGTGTGTGGTGTGTGTGTGGTGTGTGTGGTATGTGTGTGGTGTGTGTGGTGTGTGTGGGCGTGGCGTGGCGTGGCGTGGCGTGGCGTGGCGTGGCGTGGCGTGGCGTGGCGTGACGTGGCGTGGCGTGGCGTGGCGTGACGTGCGTGTGTGTGTGCGTGTGTGTGTGTGCGTGTGCGTGTGCGTGTGCGTGTGCGTGTGCGTGTGCACGTGCGTGTGAGTGTGCATGTGCGTGTGTGTGAAGTATCACGCGGTTCGGCACTGAGCCCACGTGAAGCAATGGATCGGTGTGTCAATGTGTGAGTTATTTTTTTGTATTTTTGTTGTGAATACACGCGATGGTTTGCACTTCGATGGTTTAGCGTGGAAGCGAGGCTGAATGTGATTGGGCCAGGCGGCGAAAGGACAGTTGCGCCCGGTATGGGATGGCGCTGTGGCCGGACTGTGGACGCACGCTGGGTGCACCGGCTCGCGCCGTTGAGCCGCGCCGGAACTGTCTTGAATTTACCGTCGGAGGTGACCATGTAGAGGTTCAGCGGTTAGCCGGGGCCCTCACCGGTTCCGCGGCCCGGCCCGGCCCGGCGTACGGGCCGCGCTGGCATGTCCCTGGGGGTCTCCTGGGGCTATGGAGGTAGCCTGTTGGTTAGTTGGACGGTTCTTCCATTCTTGTTCCCTTTATTTTTCCGCCACCTGAGCCTGTCCAGCGCGCATGCCCTGCCTGCCTCACGACCACGCTGCCCTCTCCCCATTCGTTATTGATCGCTTTGCCTAGGCCGATGGATTGGATGATCTCGTGCGACGCGCGTGCATGCTTAGGCTCGTTTTCAGCTTAGTTAGTCGTTCGCTTTCCTTCTCCCCTTTGGATCCGCCGTGGGACTCTGAGCTCTTGCCAACTCCATCCAGCGCGCCTGCACGGACCTCGTTATGCGCGGGCGGTCCTCTTCTTTGCCTATCACCCATCCGTCCCGATAGATTAACTGGTTTAGCAAGGTATCCGCGCGCTTGTAATTTTGGTTGTTGTTTTTTTTCTGCTCGTCTCGTTGTTTAGTTCAGCGCGGTCTAGCTCCATCCAGCCCGTGCGCTGCGCGGGTTCCCGTAACAAGCGCGTGCACTCCCTGTTCTTTTGATTTTTCCTTTCCGTGTTTTTCCTCTCCCTGCTGGACGAGGCGCTGTCCAAGGCGCGTGCGCGGCAGCGGAGAGCTGTGAGCGGTGGGCGTGGCAGAATGAATGATGGGCCGCCCGCCGCAGACGGAACGCGAGAAGCGCCGCCCAAACAGGGAGGCGTCACCCTGGAGGTTAGGCGAGGGAACGAGTCGTCGTCTAGCTTCGGGCACCTGACGTCGGCCCAGTAGCTGCGTCGGTGCCGAGCTAACAAATTAGCATGATATACTTTAAACAAGGTTTAAACGTGGCTTTATTGAATGTTTGAAATGTGATCAATGAATTTAAGTTAGCTCAACGAGGACTCAGACAGATGAGCCAATTATAATGCAAAGGCATTGGACAAAAAGGGGAAGGGGGTCTCAGTCGTATGCGAGCTAAGAATAAGTGCGGTGACGTGGGCGCCAGCGTATGTGTATGCTTGGAGTGAGTGTGGTGGGGCCCCGAATGCATGGAGCTTGTGTGGATTCGTGAAGGCCGAGGGAGGCCCCCAGGGTTGTTATCCAGCGGGCCCTTGCCAATGTAGTTCGTCAGTTGCGTGGGACCCTTGCCAGCTGAGCGTCTGATCAGTGCATCCGGTTCCGTTTTTGCCCCGCTTAAATACTACCATAAGCTAAAAAAGGTGGAGGTGGGGTACCGTGGTTAAGGGCGCACAGCCATAGACGTGGAGACAGCCTTTGGTGGTGTCTGACCGGACCTACGATCTCACAAATCCCCTGGTCACTCGCTTCATCCTAGGTCTGCGGCTTACATGAGTATGTGTTGTCGGGTGTACCGGAGCCACAACGCGCCGAGTCGTGCGCAAGCATCATCTGGCTCGTGTGCTGACCAATAAGCTCCTCAGTATAAATTCGCTCTTGTAGGGAGGCTCTCGTGCCAGCAGTGGCCGGCGGCGCAAGGACACAGCGACGGCCCGGTGCAGCGCAACACACGCATACCACCACGCGCAGAAACCTTACTTAAACACGCACGACCTCGTCTGACATATCCCGGGCACGCCCACCTTCTTGCAGGAGACGCCCGAGTAGCGGTTGGTCGACGTGCCAAACACCAGGTCGTTGAGGATGGAGGCGTACGGCGTGACGCCGATGCCGCCGCCCACCATGACGGCCACCTCGAACTTGTACCAGTCCTGGTTGCCGCCGCCGAACGGCCCTTCCAGGCGCATCTGGGGAGGCACCGTGAGGTCAGGGGCTCCCTTTTATACGCAATTGTTGAGGTGACGCGGAGGTGAGGATGCGTCCACATGAGGAAGACGGCGCGCTTCCACAGCGCACAGGAGGAACAGCAACCAATTTGTATCACGAGAATAGGGAAACTCGGTCTGTCACGAGCTCAATCGGTGCAGGCGAGACGTACGCACCATACTCATTATATACGTACGAAGCAAACGACGCGAATGACGAGTTGTACGCAGCAATTTGAGATCGGATGAATATCACGTTGATTACAGTGAACTGAACTACCAAATCGACTAACACACCATATTATGCACGCGCACATGATATGAACGACCAGAATTTCACAGGGTCCTGCGCAGAGCTGCCCATCACATGTTCTCGGCGGCGCCAACAGCCGGCCGCGTCGGCCACTCACCCGCGGCGGAGGAGCATCCTCGTCCTGCACGTAGTTGACCGGGTCGAAGAAGTTTCTTAGCTTCCAGGTCCAGGGTCCCTGCGCCTTGATGTGACATGAGAGGAAGTTCTCGTGCGGTGCCGAGGTGAGCGTGAAGCTGTGGTACTCGTCGCCGACGCCCGTGCATGCCACGCGCACCCACTCGCCTGGGGTCAACAGGTCCCGTGTCACAGATGCACCATCGTGCGCCGGCTGAAGCGGCACAAGTGCACTCATGGCGTCCGTTCGCTAGGCGAGGTACTACGTTACATAAGCTCGTTCAGAACGGCTTGGCTAAAGTTCGCCAGCTAAAGCTGGCGAACCGTCCACTGTATGTGGTGTGTTAAGTGCGTGATGGTCCATCGGTTTTAGTACTGTGTTTCATAAAGGTGTGTTGGGTGAAAGATTTTGGTGACCTGGTTCAAACTCATCCGTATTATTGGTGTAAAACGAGCCTCATCGAATCTCGGCAGTCTCGGAGCTTGCGCTGGTTATTTCATAGCCATTCCGAACCCCGTTTTCCACCGACTCGCACATGGTGACAACTCTTACCTGAATGGTACTGGAAGTTGGGCGGCCGGTAGAACTTGATCTTCAAGACGTCCGAAGGAAGCAGCTCCGTCTCGATGATGTCCAACTCCATGTACTTGGTGCGCAAGCTGATGATCTTATCAAACGTGTAGACGATCGCCGGCCCAATGAAGAATATCCAGAATCTGTTTGGTAATACAATGATGCGTTTGGGTCATTTTGCTAACAAAGTACCAGAACCTGGCAATTTAAACTGCGCAAATAACTATTAGACCATGCAGCCACAATACAGCCAGGTGCCAGGTAGTTGTGTCCACCAATCAGCAACGCATCATTAAACCGGCTACAACCTGACGTGGAAAATCGCAAAGATGTTGCCAGCCTATACCCACAAGGTGGTGGACGACTGCTGCCATCTGCTAGCCATGTTTTCATGCTTACCTTGGGGCGCCGGTGAGCCGGGCGAGCCCGTGCGTCAGTGACAGAATGTAGAGCAGGTAGTAGAGCGAGTGGGAGTACCAGAAGTACTTGTACGCCCGCTTCCGAACCAGTGGGTGGGCGAACACGAAGATGATGATGACGATTATGTACAGGATGACCCCCGTCACGCCTGTGTGATAAAAACAACGTAATTTGCACGTACTTCAAACCCACTGTATTTAGTTGCTGCTACGGTGTGTTTGCTCATCTTTGAAGGTTGTCGCAAATATGATAGCATAAAAGATAAAATTAGCAAAACAGTTTGACACCATATTATACCTCCGTTAGTAGAAATGTAATTTCTCAAATGAGTTGAGGGAGGGGCTAAACCCAGCAAAACGAAACAACTTAGCCCAAAGTGGAGCCACGAACGGGTTGCTATCTGGATTTGGCCCTCTTGCTTTTCAAAGTTGGGGGAGACATGTCGGGGACGACGCTGGGGCTCCTAGTTGACCGACTCCAAATGTTGAACTACATTCCTGACTGGCATGCAAGGTTCAACCGCAAACGGCCGTCAGAATATCTCGTGGGATGAATTACCGAGCTTCACATGAAAAAATGGCTGCTGGCGCGGGTGACTCGTGCTACCGCGGTAGTGTGCTATTCAGCGTCAGCGATTCCTCACGTTTCCTCACCAGTGAGCGTGTTGAAGAGCCAGAAACCGATGCCGGGTCGCGCGTCGCTCTGGAACGTCATCTCCTTGATGAGACAGCGCAGGTTGTCCAGACTCTGGGTGGACATGTGGTAGAAGTTGACCAGATGACCGACGGCGTGCAGGATGGTGAAAAAGAGCGCCGTGCACGCCACGATCTTGTGGAACTGGATATGCGAGTCGATCGGGACGTACTGGTGGATCGAGTAGTTCTTCATCAGCGTCAGAATGTTCCTCGACATGGTGAGCAGCAGCAGCGAGAAGCAGAAGGACAGCGAGGCCGCCGAACCGCGCGTGATAGAGATGCCGATGCCCATGACGTGCCGGAGGTCTGTGTGCTCGGCCAGGAAGCTGTAGTCTGCGGGACAGCGGCGCACGGCCGTTAGCGGGGCTGACCAGAACCACACGGCAGAGGCAGCGAGGCTGGAGGCTCCAGCGCAGTGATAGCTAGTAGAGGCAACCTGCCCTGCCTCGCTGCGTCTGAGGACAAAGGCTGGTTTGCACACAGGAATAAAAATTATGGACATGTTTGGGGTCGGACGCAGCAAGTCACTCACGGATGAATCGCTCCACGAACAGCCATGTCACTCACGGATGAATCGCTCCACGAACAGCCATGTCACTCACGGATGAATCGCTCCACGAACAGCCAAGTCACTCACAGATGAATCGCTCCACGAACAGCCAAGTCACTCACGGATGAATCGCTCCACGAACAGCCATGTCACTCGCGGATGAATAGCTCCACGAACAGCCATGTCACTCACGGATGGATCCCTCCACGAACGGCCAAGTCACTCACGGATGAATCGCTTCACGAACAGCCAAGCCACTCACGGATGAATCGCTCCACGAACGGCCAAGTCACTCACGGATGAATCGCTCCACGAACGGCCAAGTCACTCACGGATGAATCGCTCCACGAACAGCCAAGTCACTCACGGATGAATCACTCCACGAACAGCCAAGTCACTCACGGATGAATCGCTCCACGAACAGCGCGATCGTGATGACGTAAAAGACGAAAAGGTAGAAGATGTTCTGTCGGTTCTCCTCCAGGAATGTCACCCAGCTGTCCCAGCGTTTCCAGAACCAGTGCTCGCGGCGCTCGTTAAAGGCGTCCATGTGGAAACTAGGCATTCTGGGGCAGAACCACAACAAAGTGTTAGCAAAACTTGAGAAGCGCTAAGTAATGCGCAGTGCACACAAACGGTCAGTGTGAGATTAACTACAAACAACGGCACATGACTGATACTGGGATCATTTGTTGGCAAATGTTGAAGTGCTACGAGAAACGCGGCCGAACATCGGTGAGTGTTTTCATACATGCAACTAATGAACTCAATGCACTAGCCAGTTAACTTTATTGACAATTTATGTCTTAGTCTTCCCACATGGAATGTCGAGTCAACCAAAACCTGAACAAAATGCACATGTTTTGTGTGTTTTCCTGGCTACGCTGTGCAAATGCAGCGCCATGAAATACAGCCTTTCAGAGAATGCTATTAATCCGACCCGTTTACTTGAGTTACACGTCTGTGCTGGACAGCTCACCTGGCGACGTTGGTAGATGTGTCCAAGAAGTTCTGTTTAGCCCCCTTGCAGTCCAGGCCGATCGCGATTAGGTCACCCTTGAACTCTTTCATGAGCAGCTTGAAGTCGTCGTAAGTCATGACGTCCTTGTCTTCGAGCCCGGCCGACTGAAACATGCCGTCGATGAGGTCGGTCACCTCAGAGTCCGTTAGACTGTTGGTCTTGGCGATCTCGACCAGAGAGCGCAGCATCTCGGACAGCTCGTCCTTGTCGATGGTGCCGTTGCGGTCGTTGTCGCACATGTCGAAGATGATGCGCAACTTGTTGTCGATCGTCCCGCGGGAGAAGAGGACAACGGTGTCCAGGAACTCCTGAAAGCTGATCTGACCATCGCCGTCCTTGTCGACCACATTGAACATCTTGTGCACAAACACAGCGTCGCCTTTCATGCCTAACGCGCTGGCAAACTCCTTTTTGGTGAGTGACGTGCGCATCACCATGATTATGTCGTTGGAGACCTCCATCTTCCGCTTCTCTCCCGGTTTGAGGCCAAAGGTGAGTGCGTACGCCTCCCGAAAGAAGTGCTCCAGTCGCTTCTGGCGGCGTTCCTTGGTCTCGGCGTTTTGCAGCATGTGCTCCTTAAAAGTGGAAACGGTCTCCATGGTCTTGCGGTGGCCAGCCAGGAACTGCTCCAACTTCGAAAGGAAGCGCTTGCGCGTGTTCAGGTTGTCGAACTCCAACACCACGTCGTGGTCGTTGGGTACCCTGATGAGACAGAGCGGCTTGTGTTGCGAGTCCTCAGTCACCTCGACCACCACCGTCTCGGTGCCCTTGAAGCGCGCTGTACGCAGCTTGACGCCCTTCCTGTTGAGCGTCACGAAGGCCACGTCCGGGCCGAACTTGATCTTGACGTTGCGCTTGTGGTTCTGGTGCAGCCATTCCGTGACAAACATCTTGTCAGTGGACTTGCCATTGTTGTTTTCCTCCTGCAGCATGCGGTAGCGGCGGCGGCGGCGGTTCATCAGCTTGACCACGCCGTATGCGGCGCCGGCCGTCAGTAACGGCACGGCGCCCAGGAAGATGCAGGCGTAGATGTAGGGCACCTCGCTTCCCTGCGGACAGAGACGGCCGATCAGACACGGCCGGCCATGGGATAGCAGCAGGCGGCAAACTCAAAACGTCTGGGGACCCACGCACGTCGCCAATGTTTCTGAATTTTGGCACAGCTTGCGTATGGATCTTGAGTGGCAAGAAGTGATCTGAGGTTCTCGTGCATCCCGTCCCGATTATTGAAGACTAGAGCACCTCTAGAGCTACCTCCAAAGTCAGTGATCTGAGGTTCTCGTGCATCCCGTCCCGATTATTGAAGACTAGAGCACCTCTAGGGCTACCTCCAAAGTCAGTGATCTGAGGTTCTCGTCCATCCCGTCCCGATTACTGAAGACTAGAGCACCTCTAGAGCTACCTCCAAAGTCAGTGATCTGAGGTTCTCGTGCATCCCGTCCCGATTATTGAAGACTAGAGCACCTCTAGGGCTACCTCCAAAGTCAGTGATCTGAGGTTCTCGTGCATCCCGTCCCGATTACTGAAGACTAGAGCACCTCTAGAGCTACCTCCAAAGTCAGTGATCTGAGGTTCTCGTGCATCCCGTCCCGATTATTGAAGACTAGAGCACCTCTAGAGCTACCTCCAGAGTCAGTGATCTGAGGTTCTCGTGCATCCCGTCCCGATCATTGAAGACTAGAGCACCTCTAGAGCTACCTCCAAAGTCAGTGATCTGAGGTTCTCGTGCATCCCGTCCCGATTATTGAAGACTAGAGCACCTCTAGAGCTACCTCCAGTCAGTGATCTGAGGTTCTCGTGCATCCCGTCCCGATTATTGAAGACTAGAGCACCTCTAGAGCTACCTCCAGAGTCAGTGATCTGAGGTTCTCGTGCATCCCGTCCCGATCATTGAAGACTAGAGCACCTCTAGAGCTACCTCCAAAGTCAGTGATCTGAGGTTCTCGTGCATCCCGTCCCGATTATTGAAGACTAGAGCACCTCTAGAGCTACCTCCAGTCAGTGATCTGAGGTTCTCGTGCATCCCGTCCCGATTATTGAAGACTAGAGCACCTCTAGAGCTACCTCCAAAGTCAGTGATGATATTCAGGGAGTTTAGGGCCTTACTTTTCTGTTTGCATGGTTTGTCGGTGTCTACTTACTACATACTTACCGCCATTACTTACTACATGTGAAAAAATGTTCAGCAAAAATGTGCTTTCAAACAGCAAACCGACTTCATATTTGATATGTGGAGCACCTCAACACTAGAATTTCTAGTTAACTTGGTGATAACACTTTTCATGTTGGCATGGCACAGCCTCGAACGGTATTTAAATGACGTTCCGAAATGCAAGGCAACTGCTAAGAGGACCCATTTGGCCTTCATGTCCTAAATCCGAACACGTTAACACAATCCCCTTCATCAAGGCATCATGGTTGTGCGCACCCCACGGGTGGTCAGGTGGAGGCGGCGGCCGAAGCCAGCACCGATTGGGGCGTCCCGATCGGTCCTGCGCGTCAGTACGGCCGCGCGCCGGCGGCTCCAGCGCACCCACCTGGAAGTAGTCGTGGCCGCTGAGGTACCGGCACGGCTCCATCTCGCTGGCGTTCAGCTGCAACGGCTGCGGACAGGGGTCGCCGGCCGTGTGGAAGAACACATTTTCCTGGATGTCGCCCCGCGCGATGTCCGTCGTAGCGAGGATGATGTCGAACAGGCGCACCCTCTTGATGGTCTCCACCTCAGTGTCCGAGAACACCCTGCCAAACGCACGGGTCGCGCAGCTTAGGCAATGACCCCTCGACGATGCGGAGGAATCCCCTTCAGGGGCTTCACGATCTTACTTGCTTTAATGAAGTTTGCATTACAAAAACCCACCAATCTGTCAGCATAAAACCCAATCAAGGCTGCCATGCATCGTGCGCCAGACCGTATGCCTATGCTATACCGTGTGTGATCGGCCGGTATAACATATGTCTTTGTTTGCATCGCGAAAGGTATCTCGAATTATGCCTTGTTGCACCACTGCACTAACGAATAGGGCGTGCGGATTTGTGAGCCTATGCAAGTTAGTAAGTCAAGGGTGACATTGTGATGGTAGAAATGGAGATGTTGGTAATGTCAAGAATCGAAATCATGATGTGCTGATGACGTGAATCGTGCAGCTAGGTCTTTTGAACCCTCCCGATATTGACGGCTTCCATGCTAACTATTTCCTCATACCCATATTGTCCGAAAGCGATCACATTAGTTTTAGTGTAATTTTTGGCAGATGAGTAAGGGGAACCGTCGTTTGAACAGTCAAGATCATCCCATCAAAAGCACTGCAGCCGTCTGACTCCAGCGCCCTGCTTGCAAAACCACCATCGACACGCACGCACTCTTCTAAAACCCCGCACGAAACCCTGCTGTTGTTCGCGCGTTCCCAAGTGTCTACACTCAGCAACCCCTTCAGCAGCATTTGTTCGCGGCGCCAACCGAGCACTCACCCATTCTCAGAGTTCTCGAACCAGAACCGGTCGGCATCGCGCAGCCGCTGGAATTGCTCCTTGATGATCGCCCGGAAGAGCGCGCCCGGTCCGTCTCGACTCTCCAGCATGCCACCCACGTACAGGTCGATGTTCATGACGTCACCACCGTACGCCTCCATCAGCTCGTCGAAGATCTCCGGGTGTTCGCGACTCAACTCCGGGTTGACTGACGTCAGGTTGGTGACCATCGGCAGCTGTCGGGGAGTCAGCCTTGACATTTGCTCGACTTTTTAAAAAAAGTACAGGGCTGGCGAAAATGGAAACGCCCTATGCACATGCACGCTGTTTGAACGTCGAGATGCCAACGCATCCGGAGGGGGGGGGGGGAAGAAATTGCGGATTGTCTGAAAAACAGTGTAACGATGAGCACATAGACCTAATACGACAGTCGGCATACGCGTCCCATTCGCGATCAGTCAGGCCACTCGCGGCACGGCAGACAGCCTCGTGAGTTCGGCGTCTGGCCGTAGGGACCGACCTTGAAGCACTTGCGGACGGTGTTGTAGTCGGGCAGGCCGTTGTCCCGCCCGCGCATGATGTTGAGCGCGCCCAGGTCACGGCGCGAGAACTCCATCGGTCCAAACAGCTTGTCGCGCACGTCCGAGCAGAGCACGGCGTCCTCGCGCTCGGCGATCTGCGACGTCATGCCCATCAGCAGCTCCTCCACCGTGCTGTCCTGCAGGACGTCCTGCCGGCGCACAGTGGCGGCGTCAGGGGTGATACCGCTGTCATACGCCAGCGTCAGCGTCATACGTCAGTTGAGGGGTGACCCATGCCATTAGACTAGCTTACCTAGTGTCGTCGTTTGAGGCGATGGTGATATTAAGTTTGCACACTGCAGTGCTACTACGCTTCGTGCACTGTTTGTTGCGGGCAGAATTATGTGACTCGGTAGCGGGCAGGCAGTTCGCAAGCAAGGTTTCCCCACAGCCTGCTAAATATTGCGGTCAAGACGGGGGAAGGGGGAGGGGCTGCCGGTTAACTATAAACAGCTCAGCACTGCCGCTCAGCCCAGCTTTTTGTTCGCGGCAGTCTGTCCTCCGCCGGAGTGGTCGACTCTCGCGCCACAATAGTCGCGTTCTCCTCTCCCGACCCGGCAGTGCGGCGTTCGAGCGCGCCCCTCGGAGGTGGGAAGGCCGACCGAGCGGTGGCCGCCGGCGCCCGCCGGCATCCGGGCGGCACTGACTGATGAGCCGCGGATCTGGCCCGGAAAACCCGGACCGCGAGCGGCGGCCGGACCTGCCGCCCGGCCAACACGGAGACGGCGTACACTGCTCTGGACCGCTAACAGCCCGCGCACCAGTCACCTGCAGGGACGGCCGTGAAAGCCGCAGAAGAAAAATAGACTAACCAGGTGATGTCACCCACGGTTATTCAGATAGTCGTTCGAAGAGTAAGTGTTAACGCCTGCCCACTATAAAAAATCCCTGTAACTCTTTCAAAATCTAATAGCAGCCTAAGGATTTCATGTTCGGACATTAGTTTTCGGTACCGTGCCTGCATTTATTTCAGACAAAACCCACTGCTTAATCGCACAGCTGTCGTTCATGGAAATCGCCCAAGGTCCACCACTATTCTCGAGGCCAGACATTGTTTGACTTAAAGAAACAACTACTTGAAGCAGGAACATACCCTTTATGCCATGGACGCCACAACCACAAAAGTCGTGATGTCAGACAGCTTACGAAGCTGCTCTGAACTAGACAACATCAGCAGCAGTGTTTTGTCTTGTGCTCTCCCCTGAACACGCGCTCGGGTGGGGGTCAAATTGGCCAAGCCCCCCTCCCCGAAGGTTTTTGCAGAATGGTTTCTGAACGGCGTGGGGCAGCTGCGCCAAATCTTGCAGAGCTGTAGACAATTGAAAAGCGGATCGTTTGGCATCAAAAACTTAAGATGTACCTGGTAAGGTCCCTAACCTATGGCAGATCAAAAGCAGGCCATGGTTTCAGCGAAGTCAATTTCTGGTCAACTTCTTTCATTTCTTCTTCTTCATTCAATTCTTCAAAAGTCAATTTCTAGGAAATCGTTCAACCTGATGCAACAATTGACGGTTAGACGAAGCCATACATCTCTGGATGCTTTTTGGGGCAACAACAATATTGAATTAACATATTACGTTGACCTAAGGTCCGGTACAAAGGTCAGCCTAAAGTCAAAACAACCTTTTTTTGCTCGAGGGGTTGCAGTATGGGATAAATTCTGATGCTCATTTCGAATTTATTGACAACATGAACCGCATTATACATCTTCCACGGACTTCTCAGTAGTCAGGTCATTGACATAAAATGACGAAGGTCAACATTTTGTTTTAAGAGACATACTGCCTAGCGTAATCTTTGTCGCTTATTCAAATGCAAAACTAGTAGTCTCTACTAACTGCTTAAAAAAACAAAAAAAGCTACTAGTGGTACTCTGGTAGTCTATAGTAGTAGAACAGCCTTGTATGACTGGTCACCATGATCTTTAAAAGGTCAAACAAGGTCAATGACCTTAACTGAGCATGATAACTTGTGCTTAGAAATAGTTCTCTAGGTTCTGGGGGCAATTTGGGGACAAACCTAAAAGTTGACTTTCTTTGACCTTACTTGACCCGGAGGTCATGACCTAGGAACCTCAAACTTTGACCTAAATGAGTTCACGTACGGGTCAACACACTCCGTGGATTTGGTGTCTTCAGCACTCTTAGTTCCTGAGATCTCAGGGGGCCAAACTGACCCCACAACCGAGCGAACGGTATCTAGCTGACCACTCGAGCGCCTGTTAATGTTGGGCCCTTGGCTTTAAAACGCACGCCCTCCGAATATACACTTTGGCAGGAAGAATATATTTCGGCATAAAAGATACATTTAGGTAAAAAAAATACATTTAGGTAGAAAAAATACATCTCGGCATAAAAACATATTTTGTTAAAGCATATTCCGTTGGAATTTTAATACTAGAATTGACGCTGGAGCGGAGCATAAGTGCTAATGCATTTCCATTTCGCGTTCATTCTTTCCCGTTTTATAAATGCGATTCAATACAAGCATTTCCCGCTTGTGCACAACACGATCGGTATTTGATTGCATCACAGAGACCAGTTGACGTATTTCCGACACTCACTTTTATGACAATACAAATTCACAAAAGATGGGTCGCACGTGAAGCGCAGGCCCAGTTTAGGTCTGTCTCTTGCAGCGATAATTGAAGTAAGGGATAAATGAAATCGCTACATTTACCTCGTCAATCCATGGACTCCTAACAAAGTGCAATCTCGCTGCACGTCCGGCAGTACACTTCTGATGAACTTACGTTCGAGTCCCACCAGGTGGAGCACAGCCGGAGTGCCTCGTCGCCGGTGGCGGTTTTCTTGTAGTTACACTGCTTGTCTCGTCGATACAGGCCCGGAGGGATCATAGTGTGTCCAAACCTGGAGACAGCGGTCAGAACAACCATCACCTGGAGACAGTGGTCAGAACGACCATCACCTGGAGACAGTGGTCAGAACGACCATTACCTGGAAACAGCGGTCAGAACAACCATTACCTGGAGACAGCGGTCAGAACAACCATCACCTGGAGACAGTGGTCAGAACGACATTACCTGGAGACAGTGGTCAGAACGACCATTACCTGGAGACAGTGGTCAGAACGGCCATTGCCTGGAGACAGTGGTCAGAACGACCATTACCTGGAGACAGTGGTCAGAACGACCTTTGCCTGGAGACAGCGGTCAGAACGACCATTACTTGGAGACAGCGGTCAGAACAACCATCACCTGGAGGCAGTGGTCAGAACGACCATTACCTGGGGACAGTGGTCAGAACGACCATTGCACTGTATGCCATCACAGATTATTACAATGGAGCGGGATTGCCATGCGATCGTGCGTCCATACCGTTGTGATGTATTCAGCATCAAATTTGTTGGTGATACGGTTGCATTACAGTTGGGTACCAGCACGCAAACCAAATAACCAAACCCAACGCGACGGATACATAACAGCATTTGGTTTCAACAGAAGTCGTTGAACCTTTTTCCAGTGCCTAAAAATAAATCCCGGACCGTTGCATGGAAAACGAAACATTGGACCATGGCATTTGCACAACGGCATGACACTGATTTCACTGCGTACGCTGGTGCTTGAGGTTTGCATGACAAAACTAGGGAAACCGGAGTTCGATCAGAAGTGTTCAACTGGAGGACAAGAGAGCAGACTATTTAGTACCCGCCTATATCACATTGAGTCGTGTCTTACACCGTCCACGATGAAAGACGCGTTGCGCGTTCGGCAGATATATGAAAAATGGGGCTCAGCTCCACTTCTGCTCATTTAGACGCTCATTGACACTCATTTAATGCAAAAACACTGACGGAAACCAGCCGAAGTGTTGAACATCCCACGACCTCTGTAGCTTAGGAAAAACGGAGACACAAACTCATATGAGCCATCTTGGCGGGTTAATCACTACTTGAATGGATGGTCGTGTTTTAACATAAAAATACGTACAACTTGTGAAGGACGTGTCAAACTTTTCCCTCTCACCCGTTTGTTGTTTTTCCCCAGACCATCACGCGCAGAATTGTTGGAGAAATTGGTACCATCCACCTTATAGAGTGCAGAAGATGTCGAAATTACCCACGACAACGTGGGCCAACACTTACTGCTCATACCTCTACAATGTGGCCAGTCTTAAAAGTATCGTGTCCTGAAAGCACGTGCTGTTGGAGCGAACCCACAACAGGCGGCTCACTTCCGGCACAAGCATATTTGAGCACAGATGGCAATTTCAGGCGTTTCGCAGTAGGCGTCTGCCAACTTGTCCCACGTAATTGTCTGCCAAACCCACGTAATTGTCTGCCAAACCCACGTAATTGTCTGCCAAACCCACGTAACTTTCCAAGGCAAGCTGAGCCGCTGGCTCGCTTGCATTTCTAAATCGCATACACAAGTCGTGAAGAGACGATTGCACATTTGCAACTTAAAGTGCACCACGCAGTGATTCGGCCCCACCGCCCATCATCCCATCAAGGCAGCCGGCATATTTTTTCGAGCAACCGGCATCTAGGCCCACCGTCACGCAAGGTCATGCATGACAACACTCGAACGGAGCATAGGAGAGCGGGCTGACGTCGATGACGGCCGTGCCATAGAACGTCCGATCCAGCCGGAGGATAGAAAAGCGCGCGGATGGCCGTGCTTGAGAGCGCTGACCGAAGGGGAGGAGAGTACGCCATTCGGCAGCAGTGTCCGACTGCTGCTTCCTTGAGATGCGCGAGCCGCGCGCGGCCGAGCTCGGCTGACCTCGTCTGTGCTTGCGCAGAGCGCTGGCCAACCGACTTTTTCACCTCGCGGTTTTCGGTACTTTCCGAAACCACCGACGATAAGGTGACCGCAGAGAGGCTTTGGTCACGAAAGTCATTCTAGCCGACACGCCACGCCACGCAAGGACTGAAATGTGTTCTGAACCGGCGATAGCAGTGCAATGCGCATGAGCTGGTCAGACGTGAGTCAGTTTTGGAGCCAGCTTGGCGACCGGCACCAATGGTGATTTGAATCGACTGGCGATATAGCGAAGTGAGCACGGGAACTAAGAATGCACCGATACGGGGTTTGTAAAAACCCGAACACTTCAAATTATTAATGGTTTATGTGTTAAACTTATCTACAATTTATCTGAACATGTCCTCACCTTCCATGTGTCACAATGATATGCTCTTTCCACACATGTCAACATACACATGAGATGATAAGCATGTTTTTCATGGGTAGAAGTACATATAGAAAACGAAACCACCATGTACAGTAGAGAACTCATCGTAGCCCTCTAACGAATGTAATCCCACCCATCGTAGCCCTCCAACGAATATAATCACCCATCCCACCAAATGGAAAAACATTGCATAAGCCTTATCCCTCACCTATTTCATCAACAAATTACTTTGACGTGTGTATGCGCAAACGGCTGGATTGGGGGATAATGAGAGGTTATGATAAACGACAGCTTTACGACTGACATTGGTGTTTTGTTTTTATTGTTTTCATGCCACTGACTACGCCAACAGGTTCTTGTCAGCCCCGTTAATACTGTTATCACCTCACGTTCTTTACGTGGGTCCCGCGAATATAACTTGCTTTCAGGTCTACGAACGTCGGATGAGAAAGCTAACTACATGAGACTCCATTCTGTCAACTGTGTGGATTTGGCGATCTGTCACTCGTTTATTCTCTCTCACCAGTCCTCGACTGACCTATAGAATTGAAAGGCTGGGGATGATTGGCAGGCGATTACAAAAAAGGCAAACGTGTCTCCAATCTGACGAAAGCGATTATATTGTTAGCAAAAAAGATTAGCCCGTAAAATGTAGTTTTCGAGCGAGTTTTTCTAACGATGTACACACTTATGACAGATTAATGGTGATGTTTTGTTATTTGATTTCAGAAAACCAGACCCCTGCACTTTTCGTGACTGGTTGTTTCCCTAATATAGACTAATTTATTCGTTGTAGAACGCAACACAATCATCATGCACGCCACCAGAATGCACATGATTGAGGAGCGTTCGCACTGCTTCGTTCACGGCCTGATATAGACACATAGGCAAGTGGCTACACTCCCATGACGTCGGCAGCAGACATGCAAACCTGCCTCCACCACGCCGCAGTTTGCTTCACCCACCTGAAGGCCGCCGACTGGAACACGTGGCTTATGCCTGGGTGTACGTCCGCTCGGTAGCCCTCGTACGCGTCCACCGTGTCGCCCAGGAAGGCGGGCAGGTACTCGTACATGATGACGTTCTGTCGGTTAGACGCGAGCAGCGGCGCGTGACACTCGGGCAGCTGCGCCGCCCCGGCCCGCGGCCTCCCGGTGACGGGCCGGGCCTGCTGCTCCAATGGAAAGCCCGCCACCACTGACAGCAGGCGAGTCAAACGGCTCGCGCCGGACACAGACGCGGATCGTGGATCGCGGATCGCCAGAGCCCGACACATCTGCGACTGAGGTCAGCCATTGGCGCGGCGGATACCCAGACAACACGACAGCAGGCGTCAAGACGGCGAAACACGCCCGGGCATCGGGTGCAGCAGATGGCAGAGGGGAAGGGGGGGGGGGGGAACTCAACGAACGTCCGCCCAAGCGACTCCCACCATGCCTACGTGGGCAGAAGATGTTCAGTGTCAAGACCTTTTTGCACCACCGCAACGGGCGGGGAGTACACCGCCGGGCGCCGGCCGACGTCCGCAGCAAGGTGCGGGGGCTGCAGCCCCCCTCCCCCTCCCCCCGGCCGGCTCGGCCGCCAGTTTTTGCCGCTGTTCCTGCAGCGGAAATCGCTGCAACGCAACCAGCCGGCTCCAAGCAGCTGTCGGGTTGCTCGAAGCAACAGGTGACGCACAGAGCGGCCGCTGCCAGCGCCGCTGGGTGGCGGGAAGCGTGGGCGGCCCGGAGACAAAGATCGATCAGTCGACTTTGTGGGGATCCGGCGCCCGTTTGATGTATGAAACGTCGGCGGGTTAAGCAAGTCACCCGGGATTTCCGGCATAACCGCCCGGTTGATACGATGCCTGTTCATGAGACAAATGTTCGCGTGCGTCAGGATCACCAGAGCAGCACTGCGTGGGGGTGCCCTTTTCTCCCTGGTAACACTCAGTCGAGGTCTACAGGTAGCACTCAGTCGAGGTCTACAGGTAACACTCAGTCGAGGTCTACAGGTAGCACTCAGTCGAGGTCTACAGGTAACACTCAGTCGAGGTCTACACTCAGTAACACTCAGTCGAGGTCTACACTTCCACCCTTCCATCAGCATTCGAAAGCAGAGTCTTGTCTGAAACCCAAAGCAGCTGCCCCTGACAGCTCTATTTAGACTCGGTACGGTAACATGCGCAACACATCAAACGGTAACATGCACAACACCTCAAACGGTAACATGCACAACACCTCAAACGGTAACATGCACAACACCCCAAACGGTAACATGCACAACGCCTCAAACGTACCAGAATCGGCGGCGTGGGAGGGGGAGGGGAGCGTTAGACAACAGTGTCTGATGTCTGATGGCTTCATTGCAAAACAACTCTACTGTTCGGCTTGTTATCATGCTCCGGCGCACGTGCTTAACAGGGTGACATAAGCGTAGCAGGTGTTCAGGTTTACTGTATATGGCATGCCCATAACAGGAATTTGGAGCTTTGTTATCAAACCTACACGTTTTATGTTTTTATGTTTTACACGTTTTTATGGCGTGTTTTTTTCGCTGAATGTTAACATGAGCCATGACTTCTACCTAATGCGTGTTAAAGCTATCTTGATGAATGTTTTCACTGTTCGTCAACGATGGCATGGCGCTACTTCGTTAAGACATTTCACGAGGCTTTCCCAATCTCCAAAACGTCTGCCCACCCTTCGTCCTGGATCCTTCTCCTTGACCTGCATGTACCCCACCTCCTTCCGCTCAAGGATTCCCACCCGCAGTGTCCATACTTTACCACACCCCAGGGGCCTAGCCCGCAGCGCTGGATGCACTCTGCCTCTCCTCGGGGTCAGCGCTGACTGACCTGGAAGGTGGCTACCACGATGCGGCGAGCGCGTTGGAACACCTCCTCGTCACTCCAGTTTGGGTGCTCTCCTTGCACGCGTAAGGCCACTTTGTTGTGCCAGCGGAAGAACAGGATGCCGAACGCCAGCAGCGCCGGGTTCTGATTGGTCCGCTCGTCGCCCAGCACTGGAACAGCAGGAGACAGGTGAGCGACGAGCCAGTAATACGGCCCGCATCGCATGGCTCTGCACGCACACATGTACGCAACACGTGACCAGGTGAGGATCATGACGTCACCAGTTGATGTTCGTCACGTGGTGACCCTTACTTAGCCATGCAGTGGGCGTGACATCCTCAGCTGGTGTTCGCGACATGGTCAGCCGGTTGTCAGTCGCGGGTCCCGCACCACTGGTGCCATATCCGGACATGTTGGCCGAGGCCGCGGACCGCGCACCCGACAACGCGGAAGCCGGAAGACTGTCCACAGCCATGTACGGTACACGGCACTGGGTCAGAGTCATGAGACATGACGTTGCACGGCACGACAGGACGTACTGCGATGCTCCATTCATTTCGGCGCTGTCTCCGCTTGCCGCAGCAGCCGCGGAAGCTTGTGAGGAAGTGGTGAAGATCACTATCGCAAAGGTTTGAGCGTGTGTGCGAACAACATGCATACAGATTTGGTGCCGTAGAGTTGGTGCTTTGGGCGCTTACTTCCCGAGTGGTTCGGCGCGAGCATGTATCACGGATGAGATCAGTACTGACACCAAAACTCCGAGCCAGTGCGGCTTCGTAGCGGGTAGCACATGGCGGCTGTTAAAACAGTTCATTAATTGGTGCGCGACTGTATTTACGCTTGTTTTTGTCTCAGGTGAAACATCGTAAGTGATGTCTGCTACGTGCTTATCGCGCGAGATTTTCTGAGTGAAAGCCGGAGACCACATTTCATGAGGATCAGGTACAATAAAAAATGGCGGGGATTCACCTGTCGCTGGTCCATAATGCATCGTATGCGGGCAGAAGCATACAGTAGCAGCACTGGAGCTATGTATAATGAATCAGTAAAAGAAAAAAAATATGGCTTTCCAAATCACAAGCAGCTGAGATCGGATCTCCACCCAGTGCACTGCTTGTAGTCCACTCCAACGTCATTGTATCGTTTCATCGCCATGCACAGGACAGCGATGCATGCACATCAAGGCAGCAAACTGAAATCATGCTTAATGGATGAACGGAAAACAGCAATGAGCAACAACCGCCCCGCATAGTTCAATGTAAAGCAGTGTGTGTAGGCTGGATGCACTTTTGCAGTTTCATGTTCGAAGTTCTGTAGCAGGCTTATAGCAGGAGGAGGTCCAGCACCCGTGGGACTGCTGTTAAGCATTTTCTCACAATTTTCTTCCATTTTTCGAATGTCCGGTTTAATCGTCCGCACGATCAAAGCCTGAAGCGTCTACCTTGGGAGGAAGTGGGCACGCTGAGAGAGAAGAGTGCTATCGTAGGGTGTTCAGTGTGATAAGAGAAGCGGGCCAACATGAATAAGCCAGCAAATTAGACGAAACTGGAAGTTTCAAGTCAGCCCATTGAATCAATGCCCCCGGTTGTATGCTTTCGAAAAGATGTATGAAGTTGCGACAACGCCAATGTCTATGGATATTTACATAAATCATGTTTACAACATGATAAGAAAAGGCCGGCTTACGGAATTCGTGGGCACACACCGCACACCACACACGCACACGCACAAGCACACCGCCTCGCGTCACAAGCTTCTATGACCCCCCGTTGACACAGACCAATTGAGCCAATACCTTTCAGCCCGTCAGGTTCCGAAGCCGGCTGCAGACACTGTGCTAGCCTACCAGTGGAATGCAGCCTCCAACTGCAGAAAAGGGACACGAGAGTGGAACCGCCACCCTACACTGCTCTGTCAGGGGCGCGAGACTGGAACCGCCACCCTACACTGCTCTGTCATGGACGCGAGACTGGGACCGCCACCCTACACTGCTCTGTCATGGACGCGAGACTGGAACCGCCACCCTACACTGCTCTGTCATGGACGCGAGACTGGAACCGCCACCCTACACTGCTCTGTCATGGACACGAGAGTGGAACCGCCACCCTACACTGCTCTGTCATGGACACGAGAGTGGAACCGCCACCCTACACTGCTCTGTCAGGGACGCGAGAGTGGAACCGCCACCCTACACTGCTCTGTCATGGCAACAGCCATCCGCCCCCAGCGCCGGCGAGCTCGGGGCCATACTCCGGGGCGGCGAGGGGGCTCCTTTCGCCCGGCACGCTGCCCCTAGACCGGCCGTCTTGCGCCGCCTCTGTCACCCTACCGTTCCCGGCGGCTGCCCCTACACCGGCCGTCTTGAGCCGCCTCTGTCACCCTACCGTTCCCGGCGGCTGCCTGTCGCAATGATTACCGAGTAAATGGAACAAGGTCAATGGAGGGCGTGCCGCTTGACTGGAAGCGGCTGCTCGCGCCACTGGCGGCCAGCTCCAGCCCCGCCACCTATTCCGCATTGCGCTGCAGCTGGTGTCTATGCGGCACTGATTCACTGTGTCGCCACGCCCACGCCGGCGCCCGGCCGAGCGCCAGCATAAGGCGTGGTGACGCCGCGGCACGGCGCGAAGATTATAGGTGTTCCGCCGCTGACCACCTGTTACAGCGGAGCGCGCCAAAAAGCGGCGATGGTCGTGGCGTGGCGCGCTGCTTGCGTGACGTTACAATTTGAGGGATTCGGGCATCTAGGAATAGATATGGCAAATAATCCTACGTTAATCACGTTTGGCTTCATTTCTCCAATGCGCGAGAACATTGTTTGCCTTCGCTGTGACTTGTTTGCAACAGTAATGTTCTCATAAAGCAAAAAATATCACCGACATTTTATAAATTTTTCGCAAATATTCAACCAATGCACTGACCGCCATTGCAAAGGAAGGACTATCTTCCTATAGCCCAGAACACTCTTCGGCTTCCTGTCCGCTGTGGGTTGTCGTTCCGCAGCTCGAAGTGCAAATGTCCGCTTACGGGATGCGGTGGCATCAATATCTTTCGCAAGTTATTTGAACAGCATGCCAATGTTAGTCTTCCCCCGAACAATTGACGAGGTATGCATCGTGCGCAGTACAACAAGCCATGAAATCATGTTTGGAAAGCGCTGAATCGATCACATGACGAAATGCCCCAATTATCTTAAAACTCAAGTTGCCTCAATTTGCATTCACGCTATCCACGGGCGACAAGCTAAAGATAATTGATTGCAGTTGCGCCGCCAGCGCCAGGTGCCCTAGCTATATGTGCCGTCATGAAATGCGAAGTTCATTTCCAAGTAGCTCGGCATAGTACCTGTTGGCTCATTGCGTTTATTGATTTCAAGTCTCGTGATTCGGGGGTGATCATTAACTTAATTAACAAAGACTGGCAGACGAGTAGCCCTGGCTGGCCGTGCACGCGACTCATTATTGGGCCAAGGAGGGAAAGTCTGCATTGTCTTTGCGGGACGAATAACACTGCAGGTCGGCACTAGCCTTCGGAGCTCGTAACTGGATAGAAAAGGCACATGCCACCTCTTTTCTTTGTGTTCTTGTACACAAAACTATCGTTGCCATCAACTCCACACGACGTCACGACACCCGACACACCTGACTTCACATCCTGCATTGGTAGCCAGTATCTCGCAAAGCTAATTTATTAATAGTGAATAAATTAACTAACGAAACCTATTTCCTAATCAAATACTCAGCGTTTCAGTGGGTTAGCGTTACGAGCCTCAATTAAGGGCAGTTGACATTGAAACTACCGCCGAAGCGAACAGCTTCGTTTGCTACGGCGTACACCATTACCCACCACGCACTGAAGTCAAAGTTCTGACCGTGGCTGGGCGCGGCAGCGGACCCACCAGGGCCACACCCACTGCAGGGGGCCTGCTGGGTGACCCGACACTTCAGCTGTGACCGCCACAGCCGCCATATGAGCTTGCTGTCCTTGGCCAGCGCCAGCCATCTCACGCTCTGGCACCATGCGTCTAGAACTGTGCCGAGTTCTGCACTGCTGCGAGCGCACATCACTATCCTCCAGCATCACACTCTGTCTGTGCGTCCGACGCGTGACACCGCGTCGTGAACTGCAAGGTGAGATCGCATTCAATGTACTCGACTGGTGCCACCGAACAGTCCAAGCGCCGGAGGCTTCATCTGCTCATGAGCAAGTAGGTTCTACACAACACAAGGACGGCGTCGCTCAGCACAGCATGCTGAGCTCATCCGAAAAGGCATGGGCTCGAGGTTTACTGATATCTAATGTTGACCTAAGCATCTATCGACCTTGACAAGCTAAAGAAATTCAAACAGCGATTGCTTATAGAAACAACACCAAGTAACCGGTGCCGTCGTCTTCCTGGTTCTGCAGCTTTAAAAACGCGTGCCACATAACGTAAAGCTGTCGGACAAAAATACTGACAGAACCGGGGAAAATATAATTAACCAGCAATATATGATCAAGAACTCAAACTACATCAGTAACTCCTGACCTCGTACAGTGCACCAATGCTGACTGTCCTGTTAGCACTGCGCGGACGTTGTCGAAACAGCCGGCTATCAATCAGTCAGTTTGCATTCTGATTCCGTGCTAGTGGAAATGGATCATATATTATCAGGCTAACAACTCAGGCGTCCATGGCCCAGGACGAGTATCATCCCCTGCCTCAGGATATGCTGGTAAAAATGTAATTATTATCACAGAAAAAAATGTATGGTGGAGACCATAAACCACCGAATCTCTTTCAAACTATGCGGAATTTTACGCTACAGCCAGGTGTATTTGACAGCAGAGGCATTATATGAAAATGCATTCTCGCCAACACAGACGACCGCAGATTTTTTGGCAATAGTGCAGCCTAGGATGTAAGTGAAAACAGTCGGATAACGGTCACCTATAGTAGATATCATTCTATCTATTTAGTTCAAATGACATAAGATAAAGCTGATGACCGCATCTTAAATGATGCGATGCAGTGTCATTGCACTGCATGCTGTCATGCTGTTGCACATGCAAAGCTAGCGGCACATAAGACTTGAAGCCGCTAATTATGCCGACGCATGCCTTCGAAATTGCCAGTCAGCATTTTAAACGAGCAGCACTGCGACACCACCTGAGCTGTGATTTTCCTGGAAACGAAATCGCTGAAATAGCTTTAGCCAACTACTGTATAATACGGCGACAGTGCCAACCGTTTCTTGAGAAACCCGATGGCGGGTGCATTGTCATTCGAACAGCCAGTCAGCAGAGCGAGCAGACAGATTAGCGCCAAATGGTATACCCAACGTAGTGCTTATGGCGCGGTGGCCTCCACCAAAGGACTCCATCTGCGCGCATGACCCTCTGGGAGCAGGCTAAATGCCTAAGTATCGTTGACGATCAGCGAGAAACTGGGGCAGCCCAGATTACATCAGGCACCTTTCCGCGACGGTTTCTCTCTGTCAGAGGCTGGTTCAAGCCGTTCCTCGCGACCATGTCTAGACACGCGGCTTCCAGTCTCGCGCATACGCAGTCACTCCAGGGCAACGGTAGCGATTTTCCTCAGAACACTGCAGAACCTCTCGTTAATAAACGGCCGAGACGGATACGGCAGCGCTCCGCAGTGGCGGCCGCTAAATTGGACCTCAAGGTGCGAGACAGCGTCGGCGGTGCGGCACGCAAGGCGGCGATCATCCTCCACACCATCACGATACGGCCGGCCAGCGCGCCCATCTCGTCAGAGAGCCGGCACGAACGCGGCCGCTTTTCCTGGCCGGGACGGGAGGAAAACCCTCTGACATCCCTTTCGGAGCGTGGCGGCGCGCTCCAGACGCGTAATCAGAGGCCACGCAGGCACGGCGCCCGCCCGCGCCCCAGCCGTATCCGGGAGCATCGTCACCGCAGAAGGCATCCCGGCCGAGACGACGCCGCGCGTCTCGCAGTGACGTCACTGCGCGTTACGTCACGAGCGGCTGATGAATGACTGGCTCGGAGCCGCGAGCGAGCCGCGGGGAGGCGATTCGAATCCGATGTGAATTTATGGCGTCGGCCGGGCGTCCGCAGACGGAGAAAATGACTGCCTACGAATTATGTTTGAATGCACTTCGTGTTTACGCCTCATTACGAGGCAAGAATGATGGTGCTTGTCATTAATCTGGGAAGCATAGGCAAATAAACATGTCACATCCATCACCCCTCTCGGCCCTCTCAGACAAGTATTCCTTCCGACGGCGGCGGGCGTGCCACGGTGGTGCCGTCTGGCCACGCTGCACCGCTGCGAGCCGAGCGCCTCTCGCCCGATCGCAACTCGCCAGCTTGTCGGTCCCTCTGTCAGCGCCGGTGCCGGAGAGGGAGCGGGGAGAGGGGCTATCGCGCCGCTGACGTGGCGTCACCGCCGCCGCCACTCCAGGGCCGTGTGCCCCTCCCTCGCGCTACGTACGTGCGGCGCCGTGGTCGCGGCGGTCAGACTACGCGCTCGGAGCACGGCACCAGGCTCTCGATGCTGACATCGGAGCGTGACAGAACGGGACAGGACAGGACAGGACAGGTCAGGACAGGAAGGCCAGGACAGGCCAGGCCAGGACAGGACAGGACAGGACAGGACAGGAAAGGACAGGACGGGACGGGACGGGACGGGACGGGACGGGACGGGACGGGACGGGACGGAATGGAACGGAATGGCGGCGAGCGCTCCGCTCTGGCGCGCCCGGCGCGCTCCGTGGGCCGATGTCCCCCGGCTGAGGCTCAGCCTTGCGTCACGGAGGACGGAGCGGCGTGCCGCCCTGGTGAAATCGCGCCGCCCCAGGGCCTCCCGGCGTATCGCTGGCCGGCATCAGACAGCGGACTGGCTCAGCAGTCGGCCTAGCCCCGAATTCCGCCACTATACTTTAAGTGGATCACTGCACTTTATATCATATTGTTAGGGAGAATTGTACAAGGTATGCAAGCAGCTGAGACTGCAGGTTTTCCAGACGCAGCCCATTCGCCCGGTAGCTGTTGATAACTGTAGCCACATGTATGCGTTCGCATTGCATGTTTCGGGTCGGGATCAAATAAACACCAGAGCATTAACAAGACCGCTCAGTACGAGCCCGACGACCGCAAATAGAGCGTGACGGCGATGGAAAAACGTAGGAATCTCCTCTCCGTGATCTTATGTAAGCTGCGATGACCGTGGACTGACATGCAACATACAGTGCAAGCTGCCAGCAGCGATGGAAGGCTTGGCCGGTTCGTCTCAGGGTAGAAGCCACAGCCCATTGTCATATGTGCTGGGGCCCGTTCATGGGTGGAAGGTACAGCCCATTGCCATATGGGTAAGGGTCAGATCATGAGTGACCCATCACCTATTACACATTACCCATCGACACACGGCTGGGGGTATGTTCACGGGTGGGGTTCTGTTCCGTCCGGGGCGAGTAACCTATCCGCGCTGCAGTTCCGCCACGCTGCCGTGTTTTATTGCCGAGTTAGTCGGACTCAGAAAAAACAAAACATGACACCGGGTCGCTGCGTGCAGTAGCATGCCCGTATCAAGTGGCAATCAGCACTTCCGCCGTTGTGAGTGGCAGCCTTTTCAGTGTTTTTTGTTTCGGTGCAGCCAGCACCGTGTGGCAACTCCCACTTGTGGTTATAGGTTCCATTACCTATCTTGGCACAGTCATCCATTCGGTGCTCAGTCAGCCGGTCCGGCCAAATAGTACGGCTCTGTCCGCGGCCGTGCCCGCCGGTACTCACAAAACATGCGCTCTGGCGACAGGGTCTTGAGCACGTGCGGGCTGGGGTAATTCAGCATAGGCACGCGCTCCTTGTTCTTGGGCGGCATTTCGCCGGCGTCAGAACGGAATGTGCCGTTCTCGAATGACCTCATGGTGTTGAGCCAGGCCTCGCTGGTGCTGTAGATGAAGCTGCCGTCGATCCAACTGGTCTTGGAGTTTATCTGAGGGGCAGACAGAACAGGTTTAAAACATGCGCGATTGCAGTCTGGAGAGCCTGAAGTAGCCACAGATGTGATTGCTATTGATATTAACAGAAGGGTGTGATTGACATCAGCAATTCTAGAAAACACTGGTATTAACGTCCTTTTATGCGGCGCTGGCTTGCAAAGGACGTGTGCGTTGCTTGCATTGCTTGCTTGCTATTGCTTGCATTGCATGTGTGCACACAATCATGAACACGTTTTTTATCGGAAAAGGAAATGTGATAGAATATCGCGAGAAGCAGAACGCCTAGGCATCCTGACGGCTCGTAGCTTAACACATTATTAGCTAACTTTGGCAAAGCCCTCTCTGCTCTAACGAATCACTGCTTCTGTGGTAGATATTTTAGCACGCCCAGCACAACCATCAGGTGAGGCAGACTGAGCGATTGCGATGGGCAAGCGTGAAAGGCCATGCTGGGGAGTGCAAATTTTCTATGGGGCCTCCGGGCCGTCCGGCCGCCTGCGGTAGCCAACGCGCCAAATGACGAACATTAGAGCGTGTTGAAGCCAAACTCCTGACCATGATCCGCATTACCTACAGCTCTCGCGTGAGTACGTGATGTAAATCGTGAGACTGCAAACGCATTACGCCATGTTTCCTGCCTGCTCTCTACGAACTGACTTGGCGACTAGAAAACCTGCAAATGCTCGCAAGCAAGTCGCCACACACCGTTCCGATTCTGCTACCTGATGCTCATAATGCATTCTATGACATGTCTACAACGGTCTAAATAGGAAACAATAGTTTAAACCACGTCCTCATTTGTTCTGGCCACAACTATCTAGCCGCACACGGAGCAAGCGGATGACGCGCCCTGCTTTTGCTCACAAACTCACGTGGAGTGGTGTTGAAGTGAACATGCTTTTTCGTCTCAATTTATCTGGACACGCCTAACGCGCGCTGCTCGCCGCCGTTGTCGGCGCATCATCGAAGCGTGAGGGAGTGTACGTGGGAGCAGTTTCTGTTCAAACATAGCAAAGTGACAGGTAGCGCTGCACCACACGGGGCTCAGCTACGCGGCAAGCCACACAGCTGTTGTGTTGCCGAGCCGAGCCGAGCCGAGCCGAGCCGAGCCGAGCCGAGCCGAGCCGAGCCGAGCCGAGCCGAGCCGAGCCGAGCCGAGCCGAGCCGAGCCGAGCCGAGCCGAGCCGAGCCGAGCCGAGCCGAGCCGAGCCGAGCCGAGCCGAGCCGACCCGAGCCGAGCCGAGCCGAGCCGAGCCGAGCTGAGCTGAGCCGACCCGAGCTCCGCTCCCTGCCGTTGGCCTTGGCACGATGCACAGCGAACGGCCGCCTCCCAGCGTGCAGCCCCCGACCTTGCGTCCGCCTGCATTGTTCCCACACGGTGTACCGCATCTCCCAGGCTGGTGTGAGCGAGCCAGCAGCGTTCGCCGAGTCTGACAGGCATGTGGAGCGAGCACATACGGGTATCTTTCCGAGCGCCGAAACGCGCCAGAGGCTCGCAGTAGAAGAGTAGTGGAAGTGGAGGTGTTTGCATGTGTGAGTGCGTCGTTGCTGGGTAACGTTGAAAGCACAGATTGGACAGCGTTTCGCTCTGGCTGATCACCTCTCCCCAGCGTCGACGACAGATCCAGAGCGTCACCTTGATGGGTCAACGCCGGCTCGGGGGTCCGAAGTTCAAAAACGTGTTGTGATTTTGGTTCTTGTCTCAGTGCTTTAAAACGAAGTTTCCCCCCTACAATTTTCTAAAATATCATTTTAATTTCAGAAATAAACCGCTGTTTTTTAACACTGGTCATTCTGAGGCTTATGGTTCGTTAGCAGTTCTTCCCTCCCTTCTGGATCCGCCCTTGCTCGGCAAGGGCGGATCATGCTCGTGGCACCTCTGCAATGTGATCGGGTGACCGAGAGGCAGGGGTCGCTGCGCGAGCAAGGGGGCAAAGGGGCCGCGTGTCTGCGCCACCATTCGTCAAGATAAGCATCCCTGCCGCTGTCGACAGGTCGTAAAAATGTAGATCAAGCACACCGGGAGTCGCAAACCGCAGGCGTTGGACTCCCGACAACAGCGATGCAAATCGAATGGGCGAGCACGATTTTCACAGCACCGCGTCCGTCGCCATGAAGACACCGCTGCTGCCGCACTGCGTGCCGAACATGCTGCATTTCCAAATGTTGCGGCGTTAGTTGGCCGGTGTGAACTTCGAAGCAGGCTGCCGACCGGCCAATGCAACGCATCATTTCAGCTGTGCAGCAGCCAGCAGTAGGCGGTTTGAAACAGGCCGCGCGCGTTCAGGCGTTGACAACGCCAGGCAGTCGCTGTGCAGAAGCGTAACGAGATGGTGGCACGGTCCTGATCCCGAGAAATCGGCGTCAGAGAAGGCGCCACGCGGAGCAGCGTCGGACGTGACAAAACGGCCGTCCACACCGGCCGACGCTGGTCAAACTTTCTACTCATTCGGTTTAACAAGGAGGCTGGGCCGCACTGTCTGACAGAATGTTAATATTCTTGATAACGGAGACGGTTCAGACAACTCAGCAGCAGGTAGAGGTAATAACAGCGTTATCTGGCTGCCATTGAAGGCCGCGCAGATCTAACCGAACGCCGGGACTTGACGGCAGTGAAATACTGTAAAAATGTCGCCTGCTTTGCCGGAAGTTAGGAGAAATGTCAGTCACTTAGCGTCACACCGCGCTGTGTTGGGACGGCGGTGGGGAAATTGTCGCCCGGCAATAGCAATTTTCCCCTTCACATGATCAGTTTTTGTCACTGGCTGGGTGCGGCTGTAAAGAACAAACCCGTTACAAATGTTCCTTGTATAGCATTGCCACGACCAGCATGCAGCCAGAATTTCCCCACGTGAGGCGGGGGGGGGGGAGGGGGGGGGGGGCAAATCTCATATTTACCCCGAACTACTGCGTGTTTCGAGCGAATCGCTGCAAAATTGCCCACCATCTAGAGTAGATTTATTGGCTAAGTCATGTCCACTCTTCTTCAGCTACGGCCCTGGCCACAACATACGTATTTGTCTGCAATGCTGCAATTATCATCACGCAAAAGACGCGTCGCGTTTCCCGCACTCGGGCTGAACAAAACAAATCACTGATATTACGATCGCGTTCGGGTGTCACGAAGGTGAATACACATCGTGAAACGCAAAACCAGCACAACATGCCAGACAGAGCAGATCACACTAGATAAGAGCAGTCTCACCTGCTCTCGCGGCATATTTGGACTTTGCCCGGTCTTGGAGTCGTATCCGGCCCGGTAGAAGGGCATGTATTTGCCGCCCTTGCAGTCCTTGTCGTACATTTCATCGCACCGTTCCACATGGATTTTGTGCATCTCAATCGGGCAGCCCATTTCGGACGCCATTAGGATCTCCGACGACACAACTTGTCCTAAAGACGGACACGAGGCGCAGGTTAGTAACAATGAATTGAGCACATGTGGAAGCCGGAATAAAACCGCGCTGTCTGGCTTCATCGCAAAATTTGTTCTCACAATATGCGCTGGTGTCTGCACTGGTGAAGACAAGAAGTACAATGACAACAGGCTGAATGCAACACAAAGTAACGAGAGAACAAAAAAAAGAACACAACAGAATCACCATGTGCGTAAAAGCAACATGCTGCCACGAGATGGGGCATTTGCTGGGGTGCGAGTACCTGGCTAAATTCTGCCAAATGATGCAGTATGACATGTGGTCGATAATGATAACATGTGATATATTCTCAAACCTTGCCATGTCTTCGCATGTCGTAACCTTGACTCGCTCCACTTTTGGCGTATAAACGATACAAACTATTGGATAGCTCAGACAAATAATTTAGACGGAACACCAGACGTCTATTTTGTGCCAAACGAATATATCTCCTTACTGTTGGTTTTTCCGTCGCTTTTGACGTCGGCCTTTTTTCAGTGAACAGAGAACTAAATCTGCAACACTGCAAGTAGCCGACCAATTTCTTGACTCTAGCACGAAATTGTCCAGGATTTACGTTGCGCGCACTTCTGAAGTAAATCGTGCTTTAAGCTGGCATACCAGTGCACACAAATATGAGGGCAGCACGGTGGTCCGACAAACCAGGATATGACACTTGATGTCGGTGATGGACAGTGGTCAACATAACAACAGAGCACTGCTGGGCTCCGTGAATGCCACCGGCGATCAACCACCGACTTAGTCGGCAGAGTCGTGTCAACGGACGTTTGCGGGCATAAACGGGCGTTTGCGGGTGCAGTGGGAGCCTGGCTGTGCAGTTCAGTGAAATGCGGCACAGCATTTGCTTTTTTTCTGGCCAGGGCTATTTGCCGAACAAGACTGTAAATCATAACAGACGATGGGTGTAGTTTAGCGACATAAACTGGGCACCAAGAAGTGAAAAATTACGAAAAGTACCCACAACATACGCCAACGGATTTCTCTCCGGATTTGGTGCACGTTCTTCTCGGACCCAAGTTGATAATGGGGTCAAGCCCAAGCTCAAGTTGGAACGGGGGGGGGGGGGGGGGAAGGGGGGAGGGGACCTCCCTCAACTGAATACACAACTACGTGTTGATAACACACAAGCAGCACTCAACAACATGATTCACGGTAGAAATAAGAAAACAGCCTGTGGGCCTGCCTAGCCACGATTCAAGGCTCACGCTTCTCATCACAGGAATAAGTGACCGCGTGATTGTCACGACCAACTCACCGAAGAAGACTAGAAGGGTTGTTCGATTCTTCAGGGAGGGCACGCCGTCTCTTCCCTTCATGAATATCTGACTAAGTTTCCTGGGACTGGGCCGATCCTGGCCGGCCATCATGTACACACCGTCGGCATACGAGGCCGGCGTCTTCCGCGTCAGACGCTGGTCTGAAACGGGAGCAGCCAAGAGTCACGCGGGGTGACTCAAAGCAGTGTCAAAAATCCCAGGAGAGCGCAGGGTGCGGTTGCAAGGTAGCTGGGAGTAATGCGCAGCAGCTCACAACACATGGGTCAGCTTAGGGTAATGCGCAGCAGTCCATAGCACGTAGGTCAGCATATGGTAATGCGCAGCAGCTCAAAGCACGTGGGCCAGCTTATGGTAATGCGCAGCAGCTCATAGCACGTGGGTCTGCTCAGAGTAATGCAAGACATAGTGGCCACGTGGGGAAGCTCAAAGTAATGTGATTCAGCTCACAGTAATACGGTTCAGTTCAAAATGACGTGGAGCAGCTTGTCGGAGCCAGCAGATGCGTCTTAGCGTGTCATTGGGCTGCTCAGTGTCACACGGGGAAGCCCGTCACGTGGGACAATCGCGGTACGGTGCACCTCAAGTCATATGGAACAGCCCATACTTAAATGGAGCAGCTCAGGCTGACATGGGCAGGTCATAGTCATGCGGCAAGGCTCCGAATTACGAACGATGGCTCAAAGACACACAAGAAAGCTTGTAGTCAAATTCAAACATACGGGGCAGCTTAGAGTCAAACTGCTTGGCTTATACCCACACGGGCAGCCCAAATCACAGTGGGGTAGCTCGGGAGGTAAAACTGTGGTGTAGGATGACTCAGTTAAAGCATTTACAGCAGCCACCGTTACGAGATCTTGTGGTCTATGATAACGGATATGGTTGTATTTTGATAATGGTTGTCAAAGAAAATGGCCAAAGGAATGAAAACGAGCTGCATAGCTGCGAAACCAGAGATTCGGAGTGTGATTTCCCACAGTACACGCCCTTCCTGCCAGGGCAAGAGACATGTGGCGTCATAGCAGCGAGGTCTTAGTAGCCCAGTGAAGCCCCAATGACAACGACGACAAAATAGTGAAAATGCCCATCACGATCAAGGGCTGATCAGGTGAGGTGATCGCCTGTTCCTCTCTAACCAAACACTGCGTCTCACTACAAAAAGAGAGAGACATAAGACTCCAGCACAAGATCAGCACAAGGTAACAATAAACCAGTGCCAAGCCAAACCAAGCATCACACGGCTCCAGGACCGCCGGCCAGACATCACTGAAAGACGCCAAGCCATGTACAGTTTACTCTCTGACCACGGGTTCAACTCCCACACGTAGCACAGCCCAGTCCGTTCTCGCAGAGCACCAGTGGCCAGTAATGGCCGAGTTCTGAGGGCAGCAGGCCCCGCCACCTGGGGGCGCCACCGCTCCAGGCAGCGAGGAGCCCTCAAAACGCGCCAGCCAGAAACACTAGCCGGTGCCGGAGTTGCCCGGCCACTACGGCTACTCCGGACGTTAGCGCCGACCCAGCACCTCACGCAGCCGCTGTGTTGAGACTTTCGAAGCGTGCAACACACGGTAACTGCGTGTGCCCGGGAATCACCTCTGCATATGTGCAAGGGAGACAATGATGCTGAAGTTGCAACATGACGAATGATATGCCAATGTTGGTCGTGTGTTATTGAAGTGTCGCCACGCAGCTACCTTTGTCCTGCACACTTCTCTCTGCATAAAGCTCCGGTGCAGCCGTGCTTAACCCTGGCCGCACCACTCAGCTGTTTCGGTGCCGAACCGCTGCACACTGACAGAGATTAACTGCGGCGCATGCAAAAAGGCCGGGAAAGCAAAATCGTGCTTGTATTAAGCCTTACATCATTACCAATCCATCTAATCACACCAAGCAAAGCGATGCTGCTATGCACACAGCCCTGACCACCAGCGATGGAGAGACCCTACAGCACGCCTGTCGCTTTTCTAACATGCTGCGGCCACCCGAGCCCGGCCCTTTTACCAAATTCTACAAAACTGGCGGTCCATGTCTCCGGCTGCAGCTCTAATCACACCAAACAATGGCTATCCAGCCAGCTGTTGACCGGCGTCGTATGGCCGCTCATCTGCAGCGGTTCAGTTGGGCGGCGCCCGACCGCGCTCGGTCCGATGCGCCGCCTCTGCTGGCCGCCCTTCCGGACCGCGACTGCAAACACTCAGGCACATTGGAACGGGCCAACGGGTAGCTGAGCTGAGCTGAGAAGAACCACACGCCCCTGCTAGCGTCACGGTCATAAATTCCCCTGGATCAGGAGATGTGACGGCACCAGCCCGCCCGCTCGCTGGTGGAGGACGGGCTCGCGTGCGCGGCATCCGCGCGGTGGGAGCGCCGGGCGTGTGAGGCGGCCAAGATGGCTCGGGCAGTCCGCACGTGACGCACGGGTCACATGCCGTCCGGGCGTGGGTGTCGTGGGGCTTGCCACGGGACTGCCGGCCCAGTTCTGCTATCTAGACTGCGTTGATGTGCGCGGTGCCGTCTGCCATTCGGACCACGCAGATATGAACAGGACTTCGGGTGGGAACCAGGCAACATAACGCATTTACATCCGCAGAGATACCTGCGATCTTGTAGATACTGGGTCAGAAATGAACGTTTCAGCTCAGAGGGATACATGCAGTTATCTTGATTGGGCTTTAGATGGATTATATTACAATTCACTGCCAGTATCACGATTTGTTTCTGAAGTTATTGGCGTAGTACAGAGATACGAGATGCACACGAGAGTTAGAACCTTGACTTGCCTGCAGAATCTAGTTGCTTTTTAACTCTATCCCATTAAACTTATTTAAATGAATTAATCAGAAGCGGATTCATATGTAAAATTACACACGGGATGCACACGCAACCACAACAAAGACGAAGATGTGTTGAGACACAATTAAGGGCAGCGCTAAAAAATTGCAAAAAGTTGGAACCATTCAACCGCCTGTGAAAAGGTGGAATCTGGTTTACTTTGAATCAAGGCCCTGTACACCTAATACGGTTGTCCGTCAATTTGACCTCTTTAACGCGGCTCCGTGACGTCATCGCTTGCGCGTACTGTTGGCACGGGAGCTACGCCACGAGGTGCGCAGGAGCCGCCTGATTGAACAGGAGTTGATAGCGTCAGAAGAAGTGGTCTTATGGTCGCTGAAGGGAAAGCAGGAGCACGAAAACACTGTTCACGACGTATCGCCAATTAAATGACGATGTCTAGCGCAAGCCTGCAGAGCGCAATCATTAATCATAAGCGTATTTTTTTCCGAGGGATCTCGATTATGTTACCATAAATTTGAATATTGCGTAACCTTCTTCGATATCCATACAGCACGCGCGTCAACATCTTGATCCTCACACCATCCATTCGTAGAATATTTAACGAAGGCCTCGCGTGCTTCGCCCTTTTGCCGTGACCATTAGCCGCGACCCAAACCCTGGGAGCGCAGGCGGACGCGGCCAGACGCGATGGAGCCAATCGCAGGTCAGACGTGTAACGAGGCCGGCGCAATCCCGAATCCGACGTCAACGGGCCGCTCATCTCCAGTGACCCGGATCGGCACGTGACCGCAATGCGAACTAGTCGACCGGAGGCGGGCCGCGCACGTGATCGCCGCACCGCCCGGCGTGTCACTGGGCCCCGACTCAGCGATCGCGGCGCGGGTTGCCGCTGGCCAACTGCGCGCCTCAGCGCCCGCATCGCTGGCCCATCGGGCGCGGCGGCCGGCCTTACTTCGATCGCCGCTTGCAGCAGTGTGCGCCTCGGCCGGCCGCTGGCTTCAGCTGCGCCGCGAACGGCTGTCGCAATGTTTGCTCTCCCGATGCGGCGGACGCCCGTGGCGCGGCCGAGGAGCTCACGCCCTGTCGGAGGCGGGCCGCAGCGGACCCTGCTGGCTGGTGGGGGCAGCCTGGCGTCATGTTGATCTGTCCTGAGGTGGCGAAATAGGGCTGGCCTCTGCTCGTGCGCAAAACCAGTCCGTCGACAGGGTTCCCTGCTGGGCATGTTAGTCTTGATGGGCAATTTACATATTACGCGCAACATTCGTAGGCGCACGGGGCTTTATCAGAGCAATTAAGCGCCCGACACGCCCCATTAATCAGTCAGCATCAAGGTCACTGCTTGTCGATCTCAGATATAATTGTGCCTTTGCGCAGAAGGAAGGTCTGGTCGCAAGAACATGACCTTGCATCTATGTTTCAGAGAGGCAAGAGGTCAAGTCTTGTGCTCGCCCTTTCAGACTTCAGACCATTGCGCTTACACTGCAGTCATGCAGTGGAGTTATTGCAGTGCCTCCTCAGGAGACAACCAGTCGCCTATCCCTTAAACGGCGATAGGCAGTACGTCAGGCTGGACCACTCGCAGCACTCGCAGCCCTGGTCAGGACCGCCCTGGCAACCGGCTGCTCCCAACCGGGCCCCTGCCGGCCATGAGCGTCTGCAGGGCGGCCGCGCCCCGCCACGACCCAGACTGGGCCCGGTTCGACCTCCCATTCCGACCTGGATTCGCTCGCTCCAGAACCCGGGCGCTCGGCCGTCCCAAACACACACACTTACACGCGCAACGCGCAACGCGCAACGCACACTTTCTAATTCCGGCGGGCGCGCGCGCTCGCGCCGGCCCGACCGCCGCCTCGCCGTGCCATGCCGACAGATGCGGCGATCGCGGCGGCCGCGCCGGCCACTCCGACGGTGGTGCCGCCGGCCTACACATGCTGACAAAAAGCAAAAACAACACAACCACGGTCGGGTTCCAAGCAGAAAAGCCGGAAGACGGTGGCCGCCAGCACTCTATTCGCTCTCACAGAGAGATGGGGTGCCGTCGGAGATGAGGCGCCGGTGGGTGGCAGCCGGAACGGCGAGCCAGCGTGAACGGCAGCCATGCGTCTCAGGGGGCGGAGAACGCCACGGCAGAATTGCGGCAAATGAAATTGGAAGAGCCGGGCTGACGCGCCTCGTACCACTGGGAGAGCCGGACTGACGCGCGCTGTACCACTGGGACTGGGAGAACCGGGCTGACACGCGCTGTACCAATGGAAGAGCCGGGCTGACGCGCGCCGTGCCACTGGGAAAGCCGGGCTGACACGCGCTATACCACTGGGAGAACCGGGCTGACACGCGCTGTGCCAATGGAAGAGCCGGACTGACGCGCGCTGTACCATTGGGAGAGCCGGGCTGACGCGCGCTGTACCACTGGGAGACCTTACTGTCCTGGTAGCAGCTGAACAATGCACTGCGCAGCTTAGTCAAGCGTCAATTCCCTCAGGACTATAAGCCAAATCACAACTAATGCAAACTTTGCCACGTCACAGTGAACTGGAAAGAGCGGCGGGCCATTGTGACATTGCTGCGGTAGTCACGCGTGACGCTCGCCCAGCGAGAATGCGACTGCGAGGCTCGGTCGAGGAATGGGACTTCCCGGGCGCCACCTGCCCTGCCCGACAACCGTATGCCATCCTGAGCAGAGGCACTGCCCTTAGCGGTTGTCAAGATGCATCTACTGGTCATCGGAGGCCACCAGGGGAACAGCTGTGGACTTCATAGAGCGAACCTATAATTTGCGCCACCTGAAGATGGCATTGAGTTGGGATGTGGCCTAAAGCAGGCCAATTTCACCGGATATTTTGACGCTTAAAATGTCAACCAATTTGAGGAATGTGTGAAACAAAACGGTTTTCAGGCGGTATGACAATATGACCCGGTTAAAGACACGGCGTGAGTTGACTTTTGCTTTATGAAGCTGCCCACAGGTCACGCGTCCATTCTAATTGACCGAAAAGGCATATCATATACATGGGGGTGCAGTGTTCACATGAAACTAAAATGGTCACATCACTGCCATTTTTGTTTAACCGAGAATATAACCAGTATCGAATTATGCATGAGGATTTAGGGTCCGTGTCAAGAAATGTGGTGGCAAGGTTCTGGACAATACTGATTGGATTTTCTCTTTGCAAAATGAGCTTTATACATGTTGGGTTAAGCATTTACTGCATGTTCTCTGGAGGAGAAATAGCGTCAGGGCAATACGTATGGTCATCGGCTAAATAGCGTCAGGGCAATACATATGGTCATCGGCTAAATAGCGTCAGGGCAATACGTATGGTCATCGGCTAAATAGCGTCAGGGCAATACGTATGGTCATCGGCTAAATAGCGTCAGGGCAATACGTATGGTCATCGGCTAAATAGCGTCAGGGCAATACGTATGGTCATCGGCTAAATAGCGTCAGGGCAATACGTATGGTCATCGGCTAAATAGCGTCAGGGCAATACGTATGGTCATCGGCTAAATAGCGTCAGGGCAATACGTATGGTCATCGGCTAAATAGCGTCAGGGCAATACATATGGTCATCGGCTAAATAGCGTCAGGGCAATACGTATGGTCATCGGCTAAATGGCGCCAGGGCGATAAGTATGGTCATCGGCTAAATAGCGTCAGGGCAATACGTACGGTCATCGGCTAAATAGCGTCAGGGCAATACGTATGGTCATCGGCTAAATGGCGCCAGGGCGATAAGTATGGTCATCGGCTAAATAGCGTCAGGGCAATACGTATGGTCATCGGCTAAATGGCGCCAGGGCGATAAGTATGGTCATCGGCTAAATAGCGTCAGGGCAATAAGTACAGTCATCGGCTAAACGGCAATCAAATTAACTTAACACAAGGATCCATCGCCACGTATTCCCTGCCATGCACTGTAACGCTGACGATTTGGTGTCACACACACGCAATCTTATGTATCGCTCAGAGATGCAATATCCAGCACGAGCGGCATTGTATGCATGCTTCTCCTCTGGCCACGTGCGGGGTAGAGCAACGAACGGCCACGACGAGGCCATCGCAGCACGCTGCAGTTAATTTCGCCGGGGCATGAGCACTGCCCGCTGGGCACATTATCCTAGACCTTGTGACGCCGAGTACACTAAAATGTGCTATGGGTTTACGAATGACGTGTACACCCAGGTACCAAACAGTGCTAGCGAAACCGCCTATCCAATGGACGAGAAGAGTTTCGTGTAAGTGTAAGAGCAATGTAGCTTCCAAGCGAGCTAGTAAAGCCGAACATGCCACGTGCGAATTCTTAACTATGTTGCAGGTCTTCATTGGATGGGCATGTACTATGAAAAGTTTGCACAGCCAATGGACTGCGGTCGATGGACCGTGAGGATAAAATGACTTCGTGAGGAAGGAAACCATGTCACCCTTTCTACAACAATCATTTGAAAATCACAAGTCAGTACCAGTAGAAAATGCACGTATATGTTAAATAGGATATGCCAATCGAACTATTTTTAGCTACCCTAAACACGTAAAGCCAATTATGATAAAAATGTGGTGCGCCCATTGCCAAAAAAGCAGTGGTCTCACCGGTTTGCATTTACGCTACGACAACAAAGAGGGCTTTTCTGTGTTTGGGAATGGCTTTAAGGTGATGATCTATGTATATATATATATATATATATATATATATATATATATCATATACATATACATATAATACTTAAGGTTATCAAGCTGTGTCCACAAATTGTTCCTTGCCACACCGGAACCAGGCATGATGCTGGATCCACTCTTGCAGTCAGACACCAGAGCAGGTATCCGCACTTATCGCAGCCCGTCCGAGGCTGCGGTACTCACCCACTGATCCCCACTCAGGGTGGGCCAGATTGTTGTACCAGCCATCGTACCGCTGCTTCTCCACCCGTTTCGGCCGCTCTTCCTCCTCGTCCTCTGCAATGGAGGCGACGGTCAGTCACTAGAGGACACCACAGTCACGTACGCGCCCTGCAGGAGCAGGTGGAAGAGAGGACACAGCCGTCACACCACTCTACGTTGTTTTGCTTTCGTGTTGTATTTCGATTTGTATTGTATGCGAATAATTTTCCAAAAACTCGCTGTCACGGTTGCAAACCTTCCGGTGTGGAAGATGCCGGGACACCGGTAGAAATCGATACATAGAATAAATTTACACCGAAAAAACACATCCAAAAATGAGCTCATAGGAACTGAAAATATCATTTCTGCATACAGCTGGATATACTCACAAAACATCATTTCTGCACAGTGCTGGATATACTCACAAATCATCACTTCTGCATGGAGCTGGATACACTCGATGTTGACTGGACATACTCACAAAAGCAGTTATGTAGGGGTTACGTGAACAACAGGCTGAGTTTGTTCAATAAGTTTTCAGCTGGTAGCAGTAAAAAGCCATCAAAACCAAGGCACCAACCAACAAGCACCTTGTTTGACCTGGACCTCTGTGACTGATGGAGCAATACCTCCGGGACAATCAAACTTCATCTTGGGTAATTGGCTACCCTACCATTCCCTTTCAATATAGGCGCCCATATTGTCCCGTACTCAATTAATAGTGCAGTATTTTAGGACGTGCTGGGTGCCGGGGTCAAGTGTGAAGCACAGCAAATTGCGAGGCATTGGAGGCCGGCACTAGCACGATTTACTGCGATGTACAGTATACTCAGATTTATGCAAGGTTGAGTTCCGGTTTATTTTGTTTAATTCATTTCGCATGCAACATTGAGCATTGACGTAAGAGCGCATGCATATTAACTTAAATGTTTCGTTTCTTCGTAAGATTGCTTCAACTCTTCCATTTTCAAATGACATAAGTTATTCTTTTAGTGCAGGCAGAAGCTACATAACTAATGCATGACAGTGTGCCACCACCGAGAGCAGAGGCATCAAATCCATCTTGAATAAACATGTTCGGCTCCCAAAATATTCACAAATGTACATTTCAGGACATTGGAGCTCTCGCTCCCAGTCTTCCCGTCCTGCGGGCATCCAGGCATGGCTGCTTCGGCGATGGCATCATTGATCTCTTTAAAATGATTGAAGAGTGGAGCAGTGATTCGTGATCCGAGGCCCATGATACGCAGGCGTGTTCCGGGGTAAGCGCAGAATGGATCACGACAGTCCTCCAAGCACAGAGCTTATCGCGCCTTAAGCTGCCAGCTAACCTCTGTCGTTTTTGCCAGCCCATATTCCTCCAAACGGTACTGAGTTTGTGGGCTTAGCCGACAATGTCAATGTTCTACACCGTGTTCAAAAAAAAAACCGGCAGGGAAATGTCCTCCAGTTCAAGTTCACCTGTTAAGATAAGATCGCGACTATCCAGGCGGAAGCGGAGGTTTGGAAGTTGATGACTGGCCAGTCTACACAGAAGAAGCCCAGCCGAAACAACAGGCGATGGAAAAAGGGAACGAATGCGGATCTCGGCTGCCCACAAAGTCCACTGTATAATAGAAGGCCGTACACAAACAACACCACGTGACACACATTTTCTGATATGTGGAAATAATTCTATGCTTCAAAGCATGCTTGTCACAAATTTCACGAATATCTATGACAAGTATTAAGCATACTGTTTTGCAAGCTATGCCCAACCACACCTTCACCTGTAGAGTCACTAATTAAGATGTATGTTCCGAGATGGCAGCCCGCCCTATAACGCAGCGCCGAAATAAAAAAAGCACAAAAGGTGATTCAAAGAAACAGCTCAAAATTCCATGCATAAACACGTCGCAGATGACCCATGAAGTGTTGTGCAGAATGAATTGCTGAAACGGCATGTAGGCAGATTATAGGCAGGTGCCTTCAAAAAGTTACAACTGTAACCCTAATAATAATAACCTAGATTACTGGAATGGCTGGCAGAGCATGTGTGCAGATCTTGGGTAAGTGCCTTCAAGCAGTCACTATCTTGTCCCTAATAATAACCCAGACTTTGCATCAATGGGATGAGGTAAAACAACTTCTCAAACTGGTACCTTACTTTACTAAAACAATTATATTTTAAGCAGGTGTGCCCCCTTCCCTTAGAGGAAGCAGACAGTCTTAGACAGTGTAAGTAACAACAGAATTCAAAGGATTATGATTCACAGGTGCTTAACCATGTATGTTACGGGACAATTAACAATGGGCGTACAACCCAAACACTGCAATTACAGCCACACCAGTCACTACGGTAATGACTGAAGGCTACAAGCATGAATTGTACTACGCATTAAACACGTACATATGCTTTGTGTTCACTTATAGTTTACCACGTGCCTAAAATAATTGTGTATTATTACATTACGAATTGTTGACAGCTCTATTTAGAGGACCGAACTCGAACGCTCTGTTCGGTAAAACCTAGACGCGTAATGCCACGTGGTCTCCTTTCCGATACGCGCGCATTTAAGCTCACTACAAAAACATAACCCCCATACAAACTAGCGCAATTGATATTCAACCTGCCGCAAAGTCCACTACCATGTTTCGTGCTTATCGCATCGAAAAGGTGCTGCCATGCAAAATGAAAAATGCGATTCTCATCCATTGCGGTTCCGTCTGTCATCACGTCTGTGTCACCAGTGTCGCAGCCTTCCAGGCAAGGGCAGGGAAATCAAACACGGCCAACAGTGACTCACGACCATAATCACCTCTTGGTCGGTGGACCGGTACTCTATTAATGTGTCATGGCGCCGCCACTGCTGCTCACAGATAAGTTCAGTCCACGAACTGACCAGCGTGCAATACTGACCCTTTTGATCACCTTGAGCTCACCCATGTATGTTGTACGATGCGTCCTTGGGAAGGAGAGACGTCTGCACAGTAGCAGGGCTGTCGACTGCCGCCGAAAACGTAAACCTTGATGCAGAGCGGACCGGCCTGAATGCCGTGCTTGGGGCCGCCCCGCCGCTGGCGGTGCTCGCAGCGTTTCTCCTTGAGCTCAGCGCACAAAAGCACAAAAAAACAGACAGAGCGCCTCGTCTATGCTCACGAAGTGGTTGTACCAGCCCAGTTCGGCCTGCACGTCCCCGGGCACAGATGCCCTGATCGCCCAGGCAGGGTGTCCTCGGTGATGAGCACGCCGGTCAGACCCGAGCCAAACGCTGCTGTCGCGGGAAGCCTCGCGCCTAACGCCAGGCTCAAGCTGGAGCAGCTCCTCTCGCAGGGGGTGCGCTGCCAACGTCCGCTGCAAGGCGCCTGCGGCTGAGCGGGGAAGGGCATTCCGATGCAAATGGCGTCGTCCCAGCGCGCGGTGCGGCCCGTCCGAGTCATTTACGCCACACTAGACCAATCAAGCGGCGGAGGTGGCCTTGGTGGGGCCACGCCCGGCTGGGAGCGCTGCACTTTCACGGATCGCCCGCGGCGCTGCGGCGGCCCGGAACCGCCGCCGCCGCCGCTCCGCCGGGCACGGCAGGGGTTGCGACCCGCGCTCAGTCTGGGGTGCTCCCGAGGACCGGATCCCGCCGACGGACCCGGATCCGGGACAGAAGCGCGCCGCGAGAGCGTGACCGATATTCCAGCCCGGTGGTAGCGAATTTGTGGAATCATGAGTGGTGTCAGCCCGTCGCGGATTACCCTGTCCGGGCTAGATTCGCAGCGTTGAGGCGGGCAGTCACAATACTCTAACCCGGTGTCAGTGTGATGGCGGACCTGACCCCGAGGTCAGACCGCACAGGCCGCGCTCACGCTCGAGTTAGCCCGTTGACATGGCGCGAGAATGGTGCTGCGCGAACATAAGCCAGCCGCACGAGCGCCATCGAGCGCGCACCTACACCGGGCCGGCAGGCTCGGGCACATTCAGCCAAGCGGCGGGTTGGAGAGAGGGGAAAGCGAGGAGGATAGGGGGAGGGGATGCGGGGAGGCAGGCAGGCAGATAAGGAGCGAGGGGAGTGAGTGAGTGAGTGAGTGAGTGAGGAGTGAGTGAGTGAGGAGTGAGGAGTGAGGAGTGAGGAGTGAGGAGTGAGGAGTGAGGAGTGAGGAGTGAGGAGTGAGGAGTGAGGAGTGAGGAGTGAGGAGTGAGGAGTGAGGAGTGAGGAGTGAGGAGTGAGGAGTGAGGAGTGAGGAGTGAGGAGTGAGGAGTGAGGAGTGAGGAGTGAGGAGTGAGGAGTGAGGAGTGAGGAGTGAGGAGTGAGGAGTGAGGAGTGAGGAGTGAGGAGTGAGGAGTGAGGAGTGAGAGTGAGGAGTGAGGAGTGAGGAGTGAGGAGTGAGGAGTGAGGAGTGAGGAGTGAGGAGTGAGGAGTGAGGAGTGAGAGTGAGGAGTGAGGAGTGAGGAGTGAGGAGTGAGGAGTGAGGAGTGAGGAGTGAGGAGTGAGGAGTGAGGAGTGAGGAGTGAGGAGTGAGGAGTGAGGAGTGAGGAGTGAGGAGTGAGGAGTGAGGAGTGAGGAGTGAGGAGTGAGGAGGGAGGAGTGAGGAGTGAGGAGTGAGGAGTGAGGAGTGAGAGGAGGGTGAGGAGTGAGAGAGAGAGAAGAGAGAGAGAGAGAGAGAGAGAGAGAGAGAGAGAGAGAGAGAGAGAGAGAGAGAGAGAGAGAGAGAGAGAGAGAGAGAGAGAGAGAGAGAGAGAGAGAGAGAGAGAGAGAAGAGAGAGAGAGAGAGAGAGAGAGAGAGAGAGAGAGAAAGAACGGGGAACGGAGGAAGAAGGAGGCAAGTGAGCACATATAAATGTTTTACGGCATTATTGTCGCATGTAGCTGTTCCCAGATGCGCGTCTCTTAAAAAGTACCGATTTTGCCGAGACGGAATAACACAGTTGAGCAACGTTCAAGGTTGGAGGGCAAGAAGTTATAATCCCACGTAAATGGGATTCCATAGGACTGTTCTCATGTTCTGACACGTCGCAGATATGATATAAATTAAGGTTATTTAGTTATGGACTGTCAATCAACCAAACCGGCGATACATCCATTGGCTACGAGCCACACAGGCCACCA